GAGGACGGGCAAAAAAGTCCGTGGTGTGAAGGCCGCTTCTTGCGATAAGTGGATCTTGGACAATGATACAGAGCTGACTACTTCCGCCTGGCTGATTTATGACCAGCAGAAGAACGATCGGCTGTTAGCAGAATGTTTGAAGTGTTCCATGTGCATCAAGTTTGTAGACAGAGTCCGCAGTTGTAAAAACGTCAGCGAGGCTTTCATAACCGGATCCAAGAACCTGAGAACATCAGCGTTCAAGGATCATGCTGGAACGGAGATGCATAAACGAGCAATGAATCTTTTCCGCAGGCAAGAGTGTCCCGCTCGAAATGCCCTCGAATTCGCTCCAATTGCGAAGGCACTGTGCAAGATGGACGATGGTGCTGCCGCTATTGCACGACACAAATTCGAACTGACTTACCTTCTCTGCAAGGAGCATATCGCGTTCGCAAAATTCTTGACTGCAACGCTTTCTTGTACATACATTTGTCGTCAGTAAATAGTTCACAGTTTCTAATACAAATAAATTGGCGAATTGTACATAGTAATGTGTGAGATACGTCCACATAATGAGTCATTGTGAATACTAGTATACTTCAGCACTACTAAAAAAGAAGAAGAAACACCCTGAAAATGTGTCGTGGAAAATGTCCGGGCATGTCCGGACAGATTTCAAAACGGAAGGACATTTGTCCGAGCTAAATGAAATCCTTTTAAGCTATGCCCTGTAAGGTGCCCCCCCCCCCCCCACCCCTAATGATGAGCAGGTTGTGCCTGTTGTTCCTCAGTCTTTGCAGCGTAGAGTTCTGTCTCGTGCTCATGCCATTTGTGGTCATGCCAATTGGGAGACCACTTGGAAGCTGCTTCGGTCTGGTTGTTATTTTCCTAACATGGCTGCTTTAGGCCAGTCTGTTGTCCAGTACTGTTCCGCGTGTGCTGCTGCTAGTTCAAAGCGTGGTCCTGTTGCCATGCCGACCCGTCCAGTTAGTCCTTCTGGACCCTGGAGTGTTGTGCAGCTTGACACCCTGGAACTTGGTCCCAACAGAAGTCACCGCTATCATTATGTCCTTGTGTGCACGGACATGTTTACGAGGTGGGTAGAAGTTGTTCATTTAGCTCGCCATGGTGGCGCGCCTGTGGCTTCTGCTATTGTTGATGTGTGTTCCCGCTGGAGAGCCCCTGATGTTGTCAGGTCTGATAATGGCACTGAATTTGTTAATCACGTTACTGCGGCACTGTACAATGCATTTGGCGTGGAAGTGCGACGTGGTGCGGTGCGGCACCCGCAGAGTCAGGTTGAGTCAGGTTGAGCGTTTTCACAGCACGTTGTTGACATTGATTCGAAAAACCATCACTGAGTCGGATGATTGGGCTTCTGCTTTGAGCGTCCTGTTGTACTACTATTGTGTGCATCCTCACTCTGTCACTGGTTTGTTCCCATGTGAGGCTATGTGTGGTTGGTTGGCTTCCCAGTGGCCTTGTTGTCGATTGCCCGTAGCCTGATGTGTCTCTCAGTGCGTGGGTCGAGAGTTTGAGTGTGAAGTCCGCTGCTGTGCGTGATTATCTGGAAGAGGAGTTGTCCGCTGCTGAGGCGTCACTCCCTGAGTCTGCTCCTAGTGCTCCTGTTGCTCCCTGTCCGTACAGTGTCGGTGATTCTGTCTTGTTGTTGCGCCCTAGTCGCCGACAGAAACGCACGTCACCGTGTGAGCCAGGCTGGGTAGTGTCAAAAGGTGTATCTGAGTCAACTGTTGTAATTGCGCGCGACAACGATGATGCCCGTACTTCCAACAAACTTGTGAACATCGAACTGATCAAATCTCAGCCTACTGATCGTGTTGATGACGATGACGATGCCTTTTCTCTTTCTGCTGAGTTGTTGGCTGCTGCTGATGATGATGTTTTGCAGCCTGTTGTTGCTGCTCCTCTCGAGCCTGTGCCTGCCAGAGTTCTTCGTCCTCGTGAGAACATTCAGCTCCCCGTCCGTTATCGTGACTAGCCTGACTTTGCTGTTCGAGATGCTATCAGGGGGTGAGGTGAAACGGAATGAGTGTCATTGTGATAACATCAGTTACGATTACGATGTAGTGAATTACGATCCAGTCACTTATGAGTAGGAGGTGTGTTACGGCGTTGCACTCTACTACAAGTATTACTATGATGTTTCCTTTGAGCTAGTAGTTCTCCTTTGAGCTGGTAGTTCTTGTGCTTGGAATTGTTTGCATGTTGTGTGCTTATTTGTTACTGTACGATATCAATTCCGTCTTACCCTTTCACATAGTCCGACGCGACGCGCCTTGGTTAGTCAATCCGACGCGAGAGAATCACTATCTTTTCCGCTTCCAACGGCAGTTAGAAAACTGTCGGAGTCTTCGAAAATGCACTGCTGTTCACGGTGGAATTATTGGCTCAAATGGTCCGCTGCATGCAAACGATCTTGTTCTCTGAATTTATTTGTGCGTTTGAACTCTTGCGCTTTTGCGAGTACGCGATTTGTTGGCATGACATCATGTGTAACTCATTGTCACGATGATGTCACTATTGTTAGGTTTGTACCATCGTAGTTCGTTTTGCGAAATCTTTTGCGGAAATCGCCATGTTGTGACGCCATTTTTGGGCGATTATTCGGTGATCAAAGCAGCTGCCTTTTTCTTGTTGTAATCTTCTTGTAAATATACCAACTTGTTTCTCCTACCTGGTCGTTTGGTGCACTGGTCTGTGTGCGCGACGGTAATGGTGATTTGTGGAGGAGCGAAGTAGAACAGGATTAGACAACAACACACATACCCAAGACAACTCGGTGACATGGCAGCACGTATAGTGCAGCTGGTCTTTTCCAATCCCACATTTCAAGAATCTGTATACAGAAAGGTGGCACGCGGTGTTCCACAGCAGAGTATCAGGCAGCACGCAAGTACAGTGCTGCTCGATGAAATCCAGTCACGTCACTCGAGTTTGCGCCTCGCATCGCAGTCCAGTGTTCGCAGGTCTAGGGATGCGCAACGCTCGGCACGTACTTGAGTGACGTGACTGGATTTCATTGAGCAGTGCTGTACATGTAGTGTGTGCCCCCGCTGCAGTACTGTAGGCCACCTGGCAATCAACACTCGCCTAGCAAGAGGTATATTGTCACACATAGATTATGCAAGTAGTGGCATACACCCATGCCTGCTTTTGCAAACTGATCACTATATTCAGACAGTTACTATTACAGGGGTGCCTGACCCGGTGCGGCACTTTATCTTGTGATATTTTGAACCAATGGAATGCGGCTCGTTTGGGCCCAGTTTTGAGTTCTCCAAACTGCTTCCAGAGGGAGGGCCCCCGGACCACCCACCTTTTAATAGCCATGCCAATGCAGAATACCTTCCGACGCCCCTGTGCCAGCAGTGTGATCTGCTGACAAAGACACGTCAAGACACGTCGGCCATTCGCTGCATCTCGTAACACGCTAGAGATAGAGATAGAGATAGAGCTAGAGGTAGAGGTAGAGGTAGAGCAGATAAGCGTTGTGAACTCACCCACAGTGTGGATGTTTTCTCAATGGTGGTGACACGGTTCAACACGGCAATCAGCAGAAGATTGACAATCTCAGTGATGTTCTCAAAGGTCTTTCCCTGAAAACACACGCGCACGCACACACGCACACACACACACACACACGCACGCACACACGCGTGCACACACGCACCCTCGCCAAGACAAATGCACAAACACTATAAGTACAGTAACCCGCGACACACGTCCACGATATATCCAGGTCAGACACTACGTCTACACTGCTTACCTATTCTGAGCCTTTATCTCACAATACGAGTATTTCGGATGGGGTTAGCACGGCATACCGTATTTTCCGGAGTATAAGCCGCGCATGTTCTGAGTTGCGGGTAATTCCTAGCTACGGGCAGTGCCCGGTCCCAACCTGCCTGGATAAGGGGAGCTCTACTGTATACCAAAATCAGCTTGTTTCATGTACGATTGCACAAAAACTGTGCTATGGAAACCTCAATTTTTGGCCCAACCGGGGTATATAAATGCCCGAAAATGAAGCACTTCCCAAAAGAATATTCCCATCAAATTTTGGAACAAGAAACTGAAAGTTTTTCGTGCAAAAAGTGCAAATATGACCACTTGCAGTTCAGGTTTCAATTCTACCCGTCTAGCTCACACATGTGTTTGTTCTCACTTACCACATCGCGACGCTGCAGCAGAATCAGCACCTCACCAAGAATCTCGAAGCACTTGGGCAGCTGATCCTCGCTCTGGCCCTTGACGTGCGACGCCAGCTGCAGTCCCAGCATTGGCATGAGGATGTGACGACACTCTGCAATCACGCACAACACAATACAGCAAAGCACTATCTTGAGGCACAACCACTATCTTGAGACACAGCCACTATCTCGAGGCACAACACATTAATTTAGTTTAGAGTTTGTGATGTAAGGCTACAAAAAGCTCGCCAACCAGCCAACCAGTTGCAAAAGTTGTCACGAAAGGCTGGACCTGTATAAGATCGCACAATGAGCCACCACCTCATGACAAGAAGAAATTCTCCATCGCAAATATTTCGTATGATGGAGCATCTTGTAAGTTAGCGCTATGCCGGGTTTTAACACTGAGTTGCAACACGGGTGCAGGACACAACGTACCCATCCATCCATCCATCCAGCCCGCCAGCCAGCCAATAACTGTTAGCTGCTCCGCTAATGACCGAACACACAACACCAATACAAGTTGCCAGCGACAGTACTTGGCCACTCACCTTCGTGTCTGAAGATGTCATTGTTGACAATGTGGCCAAGGCAGAGCAGCTTGAAACGGACCAGACGATTCTTCGGCACAGAGTCAATGAACTGCTTTATGATGACACTGCCGGAAGCCAGTTACACACAACATCAGAAAATGAAGGAAAGAAGCCAGTTACAGGCACAAGCAAGCAATTCACTAACAAAACAAATAAAATCTCTAAACAGCTAACACACAGAGAGTGACACTTCGTTTATAGTGCATGCACACAAGTTGCAAAATACTACACTTCTAATTTGTTTATTTAGAGTCGAAGAACAAACAGGCAAATTTGCCTAATTACATATCGACTAAAAAGGAGAATAAAGTATAAAAGGCCAATGAAGGTAATGATACTGAGTAGAGTGGGTAATGATACTGAGTAGAGTGGGTAATGATACTGAGTAGAGTGGGTAATGATACTGAGTAGAGTGGGTAATGATACTGAGTAGAGTGGGTAATGATACTGAGTAGAGTGGGTAATGATACTGAGTAGAGTGGGTAATGATACTGAGTAGAGTGGGTAATGATACTGAGTAGAGTGGGTAATGATACTGAGTAGAGTGGGTAATGATACTGAGTAGAGTGGGTAATGATACTGAGTAGAGTGGGTAATGATACTGAGTAGAGTGGGTAATGATACTGAGTAGAGTGGGTAATGATACTGAGTAGAGTGGGTAATGATACTGAGTAGAGTGGGTAGTGATACTCAGTAGAGTGGGTAGTAAAGTATTAAAAGCCAGTTAGGCCAGTAAAGGAAATGATAATACAGCGGGCAGTGGCATTACTGAAAAGCAGCATGTGCTGGGAGGGATCGCTAATTCATTGATGGTTATAACGTTAATACACACCCTTAGACAGTCACTAACCAGCTGATGCAGTGCCTACAGAGAATGTTCACTGTACAAGCTGTGCATAGCCAGCTACACACACGTACACTGCACATGGGCATAACACTTTCGCTATCTAGTTGTAATTTCAGTTGCGGAAACCGGCTTCCAATAAATGACAGGCATGACTCATCCAGGTCACATGCATTCATCTCAAAATCACAGCATTGTACGAGTACATACAGTACTGCACGAGTACAAACAGACACTGAGGAACCTAGGAGCTTACGCAAACTCATCGGGCTCCATGATCTTCAGCACCTCTTGGATGATGGCAGAGAAGTGCTGCAAGCCGGCAGCCTGGAGAAACAGAACACACAATGCATACGTTGTCACGCCGGCACTGGGCATAGAATCTGCACTTCACTGCACGGGCTCAACCTAATTTCAAGCATACAATATTTTCCAAGGTCAAAGCTGCATTTCTACATGAAAAAATCGGACCACGGTACCCCAGTGCTGTACACACTGAACATGGATTTCCATAAAAGCACATACAAACTGGAATACGACATGTGGCCTCCAACAGGGGAGGGAGGCATACCCGGTCAGGTTTTGATCCCAGAACATGCGGTACTGGTAGCTTTGTTTTCTAACATAATCTTAAGTCATTGTAGGTACAGTCAACTTTGCGTATAACGACACTCGGCGAGGCATCAGAAAAGTGTCCTTATTCCTGAAGTGTCGTTATACCCGAAGTCTCATCATATGTATACAGTTGGAAGGGACTTTGCTCTGGGCATGGGAATTCTGTCGTTATTCGCGAATTGTCGTTATATTCGCAGTCATTATTAGCGAAGTTGACCTAGTGGTGAAACAAATATCAAAACCCAGTAGCCGAATATTCTTTGGCTTAACGAACGAACGAACGAATATTCTTTCGTTAACACGGATGACATCACATGCCCTCCTCTCAGTCATTTTATTGGATATTGTCACTATTATTAGGCATGACGAACGAAGGCATATATTTCTACATCATTTCTAGGTCATTTTTCACAAAAATCCCCAGCTGAAGTGCCTTTCACAGGCTCAAAAAAACAGCTTGAGCTTGAGATGTGATTTTCGTTCGAGCGCCATACCTCCCCTCCAGGACCTCGGATTGCGTTCGGGTGGCTTCTAAACAACAGCTGAGAGTTTGCTAATGCCGATAGATCTTTCAATGAAGCGATTCGGTCAAGTATTCACGAAGTTACGAAAGTTTGAAGTCGCCCGGTTGATTCTGCGTACCGGGTTAACGAATATTCGCCATGAGAAATATTCGGTCGAATGTGTCAAACCGAACGAATATTCGAACATTCGGTATATTCATTTCACCACTACTGTACACACACGCATGCATACAGACAGAGACACACCGTGAACGAAAGGTCCAGAGTCAGCAGCCCACAGTCACACAATTCCACGTAGCACTGCCCATACCTGGATGGCAAGAAGGCTCTCATCCTTCACTTCCATCAGATGGTTGAATGAATCGAAGAGCTCGCACAAGGACTCCTTGAACGGCTGTGCACCTTTGCCTCGTGTCGCCCTGAGTAAACATGGTCATGGACCACCAGCAGCAGCAGCGCCAGCAGCAGCAGCAGCAGCAGGAAAGCAGCAGCAGGAACGAGAATAAAGATTTGTAACAGCAACAAGACAACAAGATGGTCAATACAGATCAGCAAGCAAGGTGCCTTGTAAAATCTACAGATGCAGTAGCCTGTGTGTACGTCATCTTAACCCTTTCAGGACAACGGATGCGTATACCTGTTTCTGTTTTACGCGCACCTGGATTCCATTAAGATGATAATACTCATTATCTAATTGCAATATCGATACAGTTTGGGGTATCCAAGTCAATCACATGCTGCTCAGGTTACGATAATTATGACTTTTAGCCAAGGAGAGGCACGTGGCTTGCGATCTGCGCTGGACCCGAAGAGAACATTTTTGGACAGTTTCCTTGTGCCTCATCACGGGGCTAAGTACCTGGCAAACAGCAGCCTGGACTTGATGATGAACTTGAAGATGTACTGCAGAGCCTGCAGCAATTAGAAACACGCACCATCACCAAACACACAGTTCATGTATAGTCAGACATCGTCGCAACATTACAGTACCACTGATATAAAGTTCCCGCAAGAGTAGTGGACCATGTCTGACTCTAGTACACTCAGGTTCCTACACCGAAGAACCTCGGCTGCATTCGGCGATTTGATTTCCTTTCCCTGGCCATTAATCCAGGTGGCACACTCTGGCGATACTTTACGGCAATATGCACAACAGCTGTGCAGTGCTGGTACACAGATTCATGTTGCGCATTCAACTGCTTTTCACAGTAAATTTCCAGAGCACAGCTAAGAGAAGAGGTGAAGCACTGTGTGATGATACAATGAGAATGCGGCCCCGGCAACTACCGGTACTTCATAACTTCTAAGTTATCTACAACACATGCAGCTGAGAGAGAGAGAGAGAGAGAGAGAGAGAGAGAGAGAGAGAGAGAGAGAGAGAGAGAGAGAGAGAGAGAGAGAGAGAGAGAGAGAGAATGCTTGTGACTTTTCAATGCTCCGCTCACCTGCATAACACGGACATTGTTGTGCTCGGTGGACGTCTGGACTCGGGCCTCTTCCAAGCAGCACTTGAGCTGCTCAATCAGCTTCCTATACACCCATAACACATCATCAACATATGCATACACACCATAAATCAAAGCAGTCCTGTGCATACGTGTACATGCAGAAACTAGCCCAACTGAGGCGTATACAAGTCATGTAGATTCCTTGGCTGCAAGATTTTTTGCATGATTTTCTCTCGCCAAAAAAGGTACATGTACTCTGCTGTCTACCAATGTGAAGTTGAGTCTCAAGCCGGTGAGAATTACTGAAATGCCAGCGATATTTACAACCCTAGGCCAAACTGGGTGTCTGGGTGTCAGCAAAAGTGAAGTCATTTCATGAAAAGTTCAATGACTACGTCCGGCCACTAAATTGCTAAATCCATTCTAACTTTTCTCACAGCAACTATGCCAAAACCTCGTTTACGTGGGAGGACATCTTGGATCTGATCACCATAGAAACGAACTCGCGTGACCGCTAAGCGCAGGCGTAGAACGCAGTCGCGCAAGGAGATTTTGACTTGCTTGGGCTTAGTTGCTGTGACAAGGACTGAGTCGTGAAAGGTGAAGGAAATGGCCGGAGACTGTCTCACTATCTCTATTTCATTTCGGTAGTTCTTGTTTCCTTCCAAGTGGAATATTTCGCGAGCAGTGTTGGCCTTGTCGGCCGAAGGCTTCATTCAGACTGTCCGCACACGGAGTCCTGCGAAAAGTAGCCCCGAGCAGAATCCTGCAGTCGTTGACGAAAGAGTTCAACATCTACAGCCGGGCAGCTACGCCGCTGATGCACAGGCGCGGGTGACGGGAGAGCTAGAGGGAAAGGACTAGCATTCCTTGACGGCATGGAGCAATGACTCACGTCGTGTTCTAGTTTTAGTTTCTCCGCCGTGAAGTCCTGTTGTGTAAACGTAAATATACGGCTGGTTTGCGAAGAGCCGTGTAGCGCAGTGGTGACGATGTGGAGTTGTGAATTATTTGATTCGCCACTCCGTTTCGTTGCAAGAGAAAAGTCCAATGGCTTCGCCGTTGTGCTGGCCATGTATTTCTTCGGTCTGCCATAGCCTTGATAACTCCTGGAGGACACAGCGATGAAGCGCCAGGCGAGTAGCAAAAACATTTCAAAAAATTGCTTTGCTGCTAGTGTTGTTTCCGCATTCACAACAAGTGCAGCGCGCGCGGTTCTTCCTCGCGGCTGCACTGCAGATAGGGTTGCCTTTGAAATGTTCGTTTGTACCCGTCTCTGGCCCGATTTTGATGGCCAATAGCTTAAAATTTTCAGTAGGAAAATTAGAAGAACTTCTCCGAGAGACTTTTCAATTTTAGTACAATAATCCAAATCAGAATTACGCCTGCACCAACTGATACTTTGGCTCCATATATACGCCAAACCGTATCGATTAAAACAAAAAACTCTCGGACAAATCCTTACAATGGGTATTGAGAGTATGTTCCTAGAGTTTCAGAGGCCTAGGGAAAAGCATTGGTACAAATGAACATTTTTAATGCACCCCACTTTCAGGTTTTCAGAGATATCTGCCTGATCGCATGTACACGATTCTGGCATGCTGGCTGGCTCGTGTGACAGCGGCCTGTCCAAAATGGCGCCCACGCTTTTGTGTGATGCTGTGAGCCCTGAAATTGCTAAATCCATTCTAACTTTTCACCTGCTGTTCACTGCTTTACTTGAGCACAAGTGAAGCACGCATCATCAGCAGGAGTGAGAGAACACACACGAGACATATGTACATAGCATATGGTGTAGGTGACCATTCACTAACACCATCATACACCGTTTTGCTTCATGCCAACAAACAACTTACATGCACAGAGATAGATAGATAGATAGAGAGAGAGAGAGAGCATGCGTGTATGTGCGTGCGCATGCGTGTGTGTGTGTGTGTGTGTGTGTGTGTGTGTGTGTGCGCGCGCGCGCGCGCGTGCATGCATTTGTGTGTGCGTGCGTGCGTGCGTGTGCGTGTGTGTGTGTGTGTGTGTGTGCATGTGTGCGTGGGTGCTTGCGTGGGTGCGTGCGTGGGTGGGTGCGTGCGTGGAGAATATGCTTACTTGTGTGCCATGGCGCCACTGAAGTGAGTCTGAATGTACGCATCCAGGACAGAGCGGAAATGCTCAAACTTGCGATCTCCAAGCAGACGAATGATGAACACCTAGCCGACGCAACAGCAATAGCAACAACAATACAACACACAGTACATCAAAAGAGATGGAGATAACAATGGAGATGTGAATACTGAATAGAAGTATACCGTGAGGACAGACGACCAGATCTTGCAGAGCCTTGCATCAGCATAAGCTGCACTGGGGTCACGTGAAAACTCAGATAACTGCAGTGTGTCGATAGATGATATGCCAAATAACGTGCAACTAGACTTGAGAGGGCATCGCACACAAGTTGCATACAAATTATACTACAATGTGTACATGGCAGGCCCTGAGCTCTGCAGGAATACAAGTAACAGGTACCCATACAACTTTGAACTTTGTATGCGACTACTCTGCAATGCCCTCTCAAGTCTAGTTGCACGTTATTTGGCATATCATCTATCCGGGCTGCTAGCTGCTAGCCGGTCGCACTCTATGTACATTGTAACAGTAACAGCGCCCGGGTCTAGTTAAATCACATGAGCCACTCTTCACATAAACTTGCAATACCGGTACACACAAGCAAGGCATTGGGGAGAACATGAAATCACCCCACCAACACTCACCAGACACTGGAAGACCAGCTTGCCACTTCGGTCAGCATCCTCGTCGAGAATCGCAAACAGCGCATCAAACGTGTCCCGGAGAAACTGCAACAAACCAAACCAGAGCATGCTAGTTACAGCCACAGGGGAGCCAAACAGCCTCTCATCTCCTACATGTAGTTACAGGTAGAGACGGAATCAACATCATCGAAGAGATAAGCCACCCAAAAATTGAATATGTGCCCATCCGTAGCCAACAGCACCCTGGGCCCAAATCCAAAAACGTGTTGCTCTACGCTGGGTGGAACCAGCATTGCAGTGGTGTGTTTCGGTGCTAAGGTGTCCTATTGACGACCTCATCGGTGCAGTACTTATGCACGGAACCATTGAGCAATAGGAACAAGGAAACTACCTTCTTGCCTGCCCAGGTGAACAGAAGGACATTCCAGTAGCCCAAAAGCGCTACTACCATTGAACTTTGAGATAGAAACAGGCAAACCATCGGTATAATAGTACCCACCAAGCCGAGAGGTGCATGGCCATACAACTACCGAGCACACATTACTGTAAAAGCCTTATATATAACAAAGTGCTAATTCTAACGAATTAACGAGGAGAAATCTGTCGTTAAAATAGGAAACGTTAGACAGAAATTGATACATACTGTTGCTATTGAGCGTTGAGAATGAGTGAGAATCGTTACCTTTGGTACACGTCAACTGGTCCATTTTAGGAAATTGTTATATATGCGCCTCGTTAGAATAATGGCTTTTAGAGTACATGCAGCGTGGGATTTACCTTGACAATTTCTTCACCGCTGACACGCATCAGACCTTTCAGGTTCTCCTCCAGGCGGTCAGGCTGCTGGCGCCACTTCAACAGACCAAGAAGATCGACTGTGCACAAGGAGTGGATCGCAACAAACACGCACACAGACAAAAAATATGGCATACTTGTGCGATGGAATCCAGAATGAACACAGTCTGTGAATCAACACACATGCACACAAGTGCACACACAACCTCAAATACATACCATGGAGTTTAGAGAAGACGTGAAGAGCGCAGACAAAGCATGAAATCAGGTGGATTCATCCAGGTGAAGCCATGGCCACAGTACATCCTCCCGTACCAATCTATCTACTCACTATCATCACCCTCAATGTCTTACTATTTCTCCTAACTCAGTGCACAGTTAGGCTGCTGAGCACATACCATTCTGAGTGAGCTTGGTAGAGCAGACCAGTGTGCGGATCTCAAACGACTCCCTGCCGGTGTAGGAGATGGAGCCTTTGATGGGCAGAGGGGGAAGGAACTCCGACTGCTGCCAGGGAAGCTTGATGTAGATGTTAGGGTCCAGGTTCTTGTGCACCGAGCCTTCGCACTGCCCAGGCCCAGGCGAGACGTGCACAGAAACAGCAACAACAATGCAGTACACAGTCATGATGCAGTACACAGTCATGCAGTACACAGTCATGCAGCAGCAGGCACAGCATTCTTCATACTCAGAAAGCAACCGATAGCTGGGAAACATTGCCAAAGACAATGTGTATGGCTCATAAGATATTTATGAAGATATCCCAGCAGACAGACCATCATTATACACAACACCTTAAATAATCAAACACAAGATGATGTCCCGCTGTTCTGCTGTATACGCAACAAAATATTGCAGGAATTTTAAAAGAGTTCAAGCAAAACCAGTACATTGGTACTTCGAAGCATGTACGGTCAAATTACTGTTAGGCTGGGCATACCTTGTACATGAACAACTTGTGTGTACTGTCACGCAGTGTTGTGCCATCCTCTTGCATCAGTGGGACGTAGGCCAAACTGAAGCCGTGCTTGAGAGCTACACAAGCAGCCAACATGTGCACACACACACACACACACACACACACACACACACACACACACACACACACACACACACAAGCGCACACACAAACACATTCTGACTTTCGTGTTTGAGACCTCTACCGCCGGCTATTGAGCACTGTTGTGTACAGCAGAAGTTGCCTACTGTGTAAGTTTACATAACAAATATAAGTGCTGCTTCAAAAGGACTGCAGCTCCAATGTTAGTCTGGCCTTGCAGCATAGCCCAACGCATCATCACTGTACATGCCCCACACAGGGCCACAGTCTACAACTCACATTTGGACGGGTCTTTGGGACGGTGATAGAAGGTGAAGCGCAGATGGGACGTGTAGAACTGGTCAAACGGAATGTCAAACTTGATGACGTCCTCCCAGACTGGCGTGTTGAGATGGTAGAGAACAACGCCTCTGTACAGGGTCATCTTCTCCGACGACACGCCAGACACAATGGCATTCTGCGCAGAACAGTGTAATATGTTACATCACACCACAAACAACTCTAAATCACAGATAGCCAGAAAAGCTGCTTCACCGCCAACACATCTTCTTGTTGATGCTCATGTCACGCAATAGGCGAAATCCAGCCTGCTTGCGCTACAGGAAGAATAGTATTGTAGTCTGTCGGCAGGTCAAGACCTTCGGCCTCGTTCCCAAGTAAAAGGTGGATACGCCACTCGCCCCTAGAAAGTGGCTCCCACATCGCGAATGGTCAACCAGCATCACATCGCATCAGCAGCAACACACGCACACGCACACACACATACACACACGCACACACACACACGCACACGCAACAATCGCAATCTTACATCGAGGACGCGTCCATTCTCCGACACCACGCACACCTCCACCTCGACGTTCTTGTGGGCCTTCTTGCCGTCGCGTTGGAAATCACCAGACACCAGTGTGATGTAGAGGTCATTACGATGGTCACCTTAGTAACAGAAGCAAGTCAGGAATGCCGAAAACAATAATACTTAATAATGGGGATGGGTGGGCCGGTGGGGGCACAGCCAAAGAAGTGCTACTAGTCTGTTACTAACTTACTATAGTGACAGGGTCAAGTTAAGTCAGTGGAGCACACCACACCAAAACTACAGTGCTCACCGAAAAGAATGCAGAAGTAATATGCACACTCGATACAGCAGCATACAGCATGAGCAGCAGCTGCACTAAACGGGAGAATAAAAACCCTATGGCCATCCCCATCCGCCCCATACCAGGCATGATGACGTCCGGAAAGCCCAGCTTCCTGGCCACGGGCACGTCGGACGAGCGGAACAACAGCGGGTTCTCCTCTTTGACCTGAACACACCGCAACACATGAATTGCCATACACGATCATAGTAACATGCACACACGTGAATTGCCCATACACGATCGTACTTCGAACATGCACACACGTGAATTGCCCATACACGATCATACTTCGAACATGCACACACGTGAATTGCCCATACACGATCATACTTCAAACATGCACACACGTGAATTGCCCATACACGATCATACTTCAAACATGCACACACGTGTGTCGTACTGTGTGCGGATATGAGTGTCATCATCGTTTCTCAAAAATCAGACAACATACAATGAGCCGTCAGATGCGAAAAGGGTGCTTATGGCATATTTTGGTCAAATTGAGATAAGGACTCAAGCAAAATCTATAGGCTTTTATGCTTCACCTCCAAAAAAACGGACTCAAAAATCCAAACCCATCATGCAGATATCGTCAATTTAGGTCAGGAGACAAAGGAATTTCGTTCAGAATCAGAACGGAGCTCGTGCGCCACAAAAAAGGCAGTTTCTTTTGTATGTAAATCCGCCGTGCTTTGGAGTTTCAGGCCGGTTGAAGTATCTACGAAAAGCTGGGAGTCTCAGCAGTGCGATAGTGTACATACCACCGCCGGGGATGAGTGTATCCCGCAACGATCGAAAAAATGACGTCACATCAAGATTCACTCATGCATGCGACAGGTACTTGACAGCCTGTCACTCTGACGCACTTTACTCTATTTGCTCTGTGATGCCATAAGCACCCTTTTCGCATCTGACGGCTCCAATACAATTTACTACAATTATAATTTACTCCGAGCAGACGTAGCAGAACGCACGGGCGAGGCGTCTTCACAAAAAGAGCTACTAAGTATGGTGATTGCTGTATCCACTACTGACCTGAGCCATCGAGCCGTGAAGGAGCCTGACGGAAACATGGATCTCTGCACAAAGGTGAAAGCACAAGCAAGCAAGCAGAACACATGCTACTCAGACACACAGTGAGGGTTAGAGAATGATTGCCATACAAGTCACAGCCAGAAATCTTGGAAATCCCTAGTACAATGCAAGTATATGATTTCAATGACGTGGCTTCAAGTCACAGTTCCATTTATAGCAAGGGAACAGCACAGTCAATTGCGACATCTATTTTGGCGAGCTGCATTTCGTGTAGGATGTGATATGATGCTCATGTGTAATCACGTGACTATTACGTCATGTACTTTGCCTGTATGTTACCAGTATATCACAACCAGCATGCGCCATCTTGGACTAGTCCCCCCAAGTGCATGCTTGGCTGGATTTTGTCGTCTGTTCTTTTTACTCGTCTTCATCGCACCTGTCTGATTTGATTTTTCCACAACCTCCACCCGTTGTGTTGAGTGTTTGTGTGTGTGAAGACAGACGTCACAGTGTACATGGTGGACTTGCCACCAGGAACACTCAGTTCTTCTGTGACGTCCTGCCATAGCCTCAGCAGACAAATAAATTTTACTCGTAGCTAGAGCACTAGAGCTTCTCCCTATCTCCTACTAGCCCTCTGCCCTAGCAATGCCCTGGCCTATCAGTTATCAGTCACACCGCCACGGGGCTGGCTGCACGTACTTGCCGACATGCGATCCGTCTGCAACGGCTTGATCTTGCTGTTGTTCTTCTTGATGATGTGCGTGTGTAGCTCAGCAAAGTCACCTTCATTTTCAAATCTGGCAACCAGACAAAGCAACGCCAGCACAAAAAAAGAACATTACACATGCTGCCACCAGGCCAGGCCAAATGAATTCATCGAAGATTCTCTCCTGTCCGCACCACATCTGGCTACCAGAGCAATTTTAATCGTATTTACATTGCATATGATCGATAAGGGGCGTAGGCGCCGGGCCATCTTGTCCGGCTTTGGCCGGAACCAGTTTCAGCAAACCAACCATGCTTCGCAAGTGGACAAGGCAAACAATATTGTGGATACTACAGTTGCGATCATTGAAAACCGACCCAAAGTGCAAAGCTGGCGCCCTCAACTTCCACGGCGCTTGACGCCCTGGAAGTGGAACGAATGCGGCTGGACGTACACATGTACAAATACAATAATGTAATCAGAACTGGTCCAGGCCGCCAGCTTGCACTTTGGGTCGGATTTCAGTGAGCGCAACAGCAGTAGTAGCAAATATCTGCATATGGTGTGTATCATTCGGCCGGACCGTCTTCATTTTGCCGAAGAGGGTTAAGACTTGAGAGGGCATACTGCACGACTGATGATAAGCCACATGTATACTGACATGCCAGTGGGCAAGTATAGTGCGTGTTTGTGTATGTGTATGTGTGTGTGTGTGCATGTGTGCATGTGTGTGTGTGTGTGTGTGTGTGTGTGTGTGTGTGTGTGTGTGTGTGTGTGTGTGTGTGTGTGTGTGTGTGTGTGTGTGTGTGTGTGTGTGTGTGTGTGTGTGTGTGTGTGTGTGTGTGTGTGTGTGTGTGTGTGTGTGTGTGTGTGTGTGTGTGTGTGTGTGTGTGTGTGTGTGTGTGTGTGTGTGTGTGTGTGTGTGTGTGTGTGTGTGTGTGTGTGTGTGTGTGTGTGTGTGTGTGTGTGTGTGTGTGTGTGTGTGCGCGTGGGTGTGTGTATGTGTGTGTGTACGTGTGTGCGTGTGTGCTTGCATGCATGGGTGGGTGTGCTTGCATACATGTCCATATGTGAACATGTGCAATAGAGCATGTAACATGCTAGTGATAGCAAACGGCACTTGCCGCAATGTTACCGGTTCAAACACAGCAGAAAGAGAAGCCAGCATAGTCACAATAAGTGTCATATATTAGTGAGCATACCCATAGATGTCCAGCTGGCATTCTTTCGTGTCCTCCGCAGTGTCACGTGACGATTTGAGAAGTTGAGCAATATTCAAAACTGCACGATGGAAACCAGGCCCGCAGCACAGGAGAAGCACACGCAAGCATTACACAGCTGCAGACTGGATCATGGAAGTGACACGGAATGGTGCACAAAGAGGGACTAGATAAGTAGATTAGTAGACTACCGGCGTACAGACTAGTAAGATGTAGTGGTAGCGACTTCGGCGATGATATCACAGGAAAGCTCTGGTGTGGGGAGCAAACACCTTTCCTAGGAGTACAGACTATCACAGGAAATAACGCACTTGGGGTCACATTGTATAGCAACAAGACAACGACCAGACTGGCATCTGCACCTGCAGGTCCATTACATTCTCCTGCAGTAAGATCCTCCGTAAGGCCTCCTTCAATCAGCATGCAGCCAGGTACACAACACAATCGGCTCATCACTTCTAAACATTCATTTTGTCATCATATAGACAGCAGTCCCGATATGCCGCCACTGACCTGCACAGCCGTACGGCCGGCGATATTCCTTGGGATCTTTGACATGTACAGTAGGTATCATACGACCTGCACACATACACAAGTAGCCATGGCAAACGTGTAAGCAAATACACATGTACATGTACATGCATACACAAATATACACACGCACACACATACATACATACATAGTTACACATTGCAACAGCACTACATGTATACAGTGATCTGGAGTACAGCTTGCAGGATTGAAGTGCTCTCTTTCACAACATAGGAACATTTAAAAAATTGATGTTCAACTTCCTTTCAAACATGGTAGAAAATACTGGAAGTAGGTAGTACACTGCACTTTCGGTCCCAATACCTGTTGCAAACACAGTACCTCAGACTTTCAAACTATTCCATCATCAGGGGGAAGAGTCCTGCTTTGGACTAAAACACTTGAGACAGAGTACACTGTACATAACGCTGGAGACAATTATTACCTTTGTATACACTATGTATGCCACTATGGGCGTCCTTCTTTCACATGGGTGACAAAGGTTGGGCAGCCTGCCAGCTATGTTTTTTTGCCGTTCCATGGGCTTTACCTTATGATGACTTCCCTATCAAGGCCACTATTCCAGGTTCAGGGTGGAATTTCTGAGCAGGGGAAGTTTTCTTTGTTATAGGCTCTATCTATTCTCTCACCTTCTTCTCTGTCAAGTCTTCTGAAAAACTTCTTCTCCAATCTGTCTCTCTGCTCTTCCCTTTAGTCTTCATCTCAAGAGCGTTTGCTTTCTCTATTTCTAAGGTCTGCATTTCTAAACTTCTCTGCTCTGCATTTCTCTTCGTTTGAATTTTCTTGAATTGAACATGATTGTTCTTTTTGCACTTTCGTCATTTCCTTTATTTTTCCTCTGGCACGCCTTCTGAAGAACTTCTTCTCCAGTCTGTCCCTCTAGTACAGTATAGTAGGGCCTCTACTCTTCCCTTTAGTCTTTGTCTCAAGAGCGTTTGCCATCTCTACTTCTTCGTTCTGCACTTCTAAACTTCTGTGCTTTGCACTTTCTCTTCGTTCGAATTTTGAATTGAACACATTATTATTTTTTGCACTTTTGAACTCTGTTGATTTTCTTTTTTTGCCGATCGCACGGTGAGTGCGCTGCCGCTAGCGCTAGCTAGCTAGCTGTGCGCTGCAGCGAGCGCACAATTATGTTTGTAGCGCTAGCTTAGGCCACCCTTTGTTAATTCATTGTTTAACGTCCTTTTTTTCGCGAAAAGGTACGCGGGAGGGCGGAAAAAAAACAAAAGCCCATTCCAAAAACTGGAAACCCCAATCAAACATTTTGACCAGTAAAGCATGTGATATATACAATATTTCTGGGTCTAACGGCACTTGCAGGCATAGAACAACACTCTTTGATGGTACATTGGAGCACATGCCGGATGAATCCAACAAAACAGGTACATAGCATGGAGTTATCATGTCATGAATTCATTACATCTGGATTTTTACTAGGACACACACCGTACGATATTTAAAAGCCAACAAAAAAAGAAAAAGAACACAAGACAAAGGCATGCCCGGGAGGCAAGATTATAAGTTTAAGGTCATGATCGGCACACTGTGAAACTACACAATCATGTATTTACAACTTCGCATATTATTGGTACTATTTTCTTGTTTTTTTTTTTCAAGTCTGAGGCAAAAAGGTACGCGGGCGCGGACGTTAAACAACGAAAAAAGAAAGGGTGGCCTTAGTAGCTAGCGATGCGTTTCTTTGATTCTGAACTTCTGTTCTCTTCTGCTGTTTGCGTGCAATAGTAACAGTTGCTGTTTTCATTGGGGCTACACAATGCCCCCATCATCATAGCGATTCTTTGCGAAAAGTAAAGACCTCGTGGCTTTCGCTGAGTTTTTTTGGGAGTTTTTGACCGAAAACAGCCCAACCTGATTTTCATGTTATATTAGAACGCAATGGAAACCTACATTAGAGTTCTGCACGTACCAATACGAATAATCTTGCACACCAAATACGCTTCTTCGCGCTTCAGGTCGCTATTTCCAAGATCCTGCAAGACAGTAGGGCAGCCGAGTGAACACACAGAAACCGTATCGTATACACAAGGAGGTAGCAAAGCAGACAAGAACATTATGACAGCAGACAGCATCATCGAAAAACTCAAATCAATAAAGCCTTCGTGAGAATCGTATCACTATGCGGCATTGCATTGGGTATGCCTACATTAGTAGATGCGACTCGAATCCCAATACGACATGACAACAACAACAGAAACCCCATTCCGGATACATTAGTATTAATATTATTATCGTGCTCTAGGCCTTACCGTAAACAAACAACAGATGTTATTCAAATGGTTGAGATTTGTGGGCATCCCGTGACGATTAATTTTTTCCACAAAACGCTCACTGCAGCACACACACACAAGCCGACACAATACTAGTACAATAAAGGTCACGCTCATGCCTTGCAGCACTCAGTGCACTCACCGTGACTTCAACCAGTAGCCACTGAATACATGGTCATACTGTGACACACCAATGTATACCCAACATAGCAGATAGCACCGACATCTAACGTGGCCTGGGCATTGCCCGCTGCACAGTGAGAACCATGATTACGACCACAAACCGACAGGCATGTAATAGCCTCCGCTGCTCGTTTATGATCTGCCTTGCTGGATTCAGGCCGCAGTGATGTGAGACCTGAGGTTGAGACTGGCAGCTTGCAGTGCGCAATCACGGACAGTCATCAGCTAGCTGAATTGGCAACTTGCTACAGTGCACAGCCATACGAATACATAGACTACGCATGACTGAATAAACTTGCCGCATCTCAAAGTGCGACCCAAGAGCAAGGTCACTATAATGTACAGGGCCGTCGCCGCTGAAGCAGTTTTGATTGGTCCGGCAATGCCTTTCATACAGTTTGTGTATGATATGGCAGGTACATATGACCTCGGCAGTAGACATGCACTAGGGGCCAAAAGTTGGTCCACAGGTGACCTCGCCAACAGGACTGGTTCGGGCGGGCCTGATGTATCAAGTACGACCCAGGACAGAGGAACAGGGCACTGTGACCTACCTAAAATACCGGCCTTCCTGATTATCATAGAGGGCCACCTGCATTTCCGACTCCTCGCCCACGTTGCATATGAACGCTTGCATGCAGAAGTGAACATGGTGTAGCAGCTCTGATAAACGATTCTGCGAGAACTTTCCACGTCTGATAACCGTACCACGCTCGCTGGTATCCTGAAAGTGCAAGAACCAATCGGCCACAGAGACAAGGCAACACAACAGATGAGTCGAAAACGAAAGCTCAAAATAATTTGCCCTGCCATTTCTCTTGCTTCACAACACGGTGGCTCAAGTCCAAAATGGTCCGATCAAAGCCGGACCGGCTGAATCAACGGCCCTGCCCATGAATGTCTCAGCAACACAGACCAACAGGCAAAGGAAGTCACTTACAATTTGCCGCTGCGTGCTCCGAAGATGCTGCAGATAACAAAGAACAGTAAACACCAGTTCAGTCTCAAACGCGATAACTGTCTTTCTTTCTTTTCATACACGTCTCTTTACGACTTTAGTTTCTCTCCTCACTTGTTCAGACTCTGCCTCTTGTAGACCCAAAGAATGGCTATTGCAACACGGCAGCATGAGCTCCCATAGCTCAGTCGGTTAGAGCGTCGTGCTAATAACGCGAATGTCGCAGGTTCGAGCCCTGCTGGGAGCACGCTCTTTTTTTATTGGTTTGGTTCCCCGTTCGATTACGGAAAGAATAATCTGCATGCAGCATCACTTTTTGTTTTGATCCCAGTGAACTTTTCAAGGGCACTCTTTCGTTTTCGTGCGCCTACTGCACAAAGTGTGAGCAATCCGTGAAAGTTACTGAAGTTGCTCACCAAAAGTTAGTTTTCTGTAAACACGCCACACACAGTTCAACACAATGACAGCAAACGTTGTTGTCTTCCTATTCGGTTCCCCATGTAGACTTCAAAAAGGAACGGATCTTTCGCAACACACCACAAGCTTCATCACACTGACACACACAATTTGTGTTACCTTGATTGTGAACAAATGATTTACAATTTCAGAGAGCTTGGAATAAAACACGGTACGTGTCAAGCAAGTACATTATTTTTAGAAAGCGATCCTGTCAGCATTTCTATAAGGCCACACCGTTTTTTATCTATGTTTCGCGTCCCCCGCGCGCATGTAGTTCACAGCCGTTCAAAAAAAAAAAAAAACGGAACATATTTTTTTGGAAAATGCAATACAAATTTAATGCAAACCCAGAGAACCAGAAAAGGAAAAAAATGTAACCCAAAAGTGAAAAAACGGAACATGATTGTTCATGATACGGTAACTCTCATGTTGGCATCATTTTGTTCTATTTATCGCATGATTGTACTCAGCTCACATACATGTTGTACATGTGTGTGTGTGTGTGTAATAAGCTGGGGCGCAAGTCACACAATCATCATGCCGCCTGTGTTTAGACCACAAGCATGGCAGAGGGGATACACTCATGTATTCATGGATGTGTGAATTTAAAATAATGTTCAATTTTTGTACATGATCTGAACAGTGCCGGGTATATATGATCTACACTGTACAATGCACGTCCAATGTTTTTTTTTTGGATGTATTTTTTATTTTTTTCGCCCTCCCTCATTGATTTCATCGAACAAGGTGACGCGAAACATAGAAAAAAAACGGCGTGGCGTGGCCTAACACCGAAGCACAACACAACGGGAAACGATCGAACGCCGGGCACAGACACTTGAACTATCAGCCATGAGGGGAAAAAAAGTTGTGCCTGGAGAACCCGGGTATCGATCCCGGTACCTCTCGCATGCTAAGCGAGCGCTCTACCATGTGAGCTAGTCCCCCTGCTATGCTGGAAATGACATTATGAACGGACTTCTAAAAATCATGGATATGCTGTGAAACGCACTTGCTGATAACCATACCCTACGGGCTGTAGACTGGAGACGGCAGGAGTGTCACTCATTGTGCAAGGAGAGATGCTAGAAATCTGTGCACACCATGACAAAATGAGTATGAGATAAACCGCACTGGAAACACTGAATGTTGCTACACTTACCATCTTATGTAAAGCAACAATAGACACATCTGCCTCATCCACTGATTGGCCATCCTCATTGCGAGGTACGAGATCAAGACCCATGTGCCTGAAAACACACACACACACACACACACACAAATATGTGCGCACACATGCACACCAATACCGGCACACACACAGTGAGAATGTGAGAGACCAATAATTAGCAAGGCCGTCACAGCCGGGGCGGCCTCAGGGGGCGGCTGAGGCCGCCCCACTTTTTCGGCCGTTTTTTTTTTTTTTTTTTTGGAGCACACTGCAACAAAGATCGATGATCGCAGCTCAGCGCAAACGTGGCAAATCCTTGTCCCCGATCGCGGTTTTTTTGCAGAAACAAAACAGTCTTTCATTGCAGTCACACTGAAATGGCACCAAATGCCTGGAAATGCTTGCAATTGGCTTCAATTTTTGACATTTTTTCCCGGGGGAAGACCCCCGGACCCCCCTTCCATGGCCACCCCACCTCCAAAGTCAGTGCGACGGGCCTGATTAGTCCCAGCATGCAGACCTTGAAGTCACACGTCAGCAACCTGCCCCAGCCATAATGTCGACACAATACTCATGTTCGCATTCTCCCAACAGCCCAGGCTGGGCAAATAAGGGGAGTTGTAGTTTGAAAAGTACTTGAATTTACCTCCAAAATTACAATGTGACCAGACATTGCTAGTATAGTAAAACCTGTAATGGCGACCACTCGCTCAACGCGACCGACGACCACCCACCCGCAACCGCGTCGCCGCGGCACAGTGCTAGTCATGTAAATGTACGCATCGCATGGTGCACCAGGCATGGTAGATCTACACATCAGTGCAGGAAGTGTGGATGTACATGGTGCATGCACGACGTTTGACACGTCTGAGGACCCCAGGCACATCGGAGTCGTGCTAGAGTAGCATAGGTGTGTGCACTGTGATGCACTGATCAAAATGATGTATCACATGTGGATATGGTCACGTGACCCACTGAACCTGGATAAGAAGACCACCTGGCCACGGCGATCACTTTTTCTCGTCCCTTGAGGGGTCGCCTTAGACAGGTTGTTTCACTGTACATGTACATGCATATTTACGGGGGTATATATGTGCAGAGTACATAGATCCATGCACCTTACTTGTTGCCCCAATCAATCTTGCCCGACGCTTTCAACTTCAGCTTCTTCATGTCATCCTGGACACACACACGCGCGCGCGCCGACACACACACACACACGGACAAGTACCGGTACACACACACACACACACACACACACACACACACACACACACATGGACAAGTGCCGGTACACACACACACACACACCCACACACACCCACGGACAAGTGCCGGTACACACACACACACACACACACACACACACACAAAGCGGTACACATGCACATGGTCATACACATACAGTTCGAAGTAGCAACACTAGTCACATTGCAGTAATAGGCATATTGTTATGGCCTATCATCGAGAAGTTAGCCGGTACAATGAATGCAAGATCATTCAAGTTGATAAACTCTCACACATGCACATACAAACATGCATACACATTCTCTCTCACATACACACATACTCGCACACACACACACACACACACACACACACACACACACACACACACACACACACACACACACACACACACACACACACACACACACACACACACACACACACACACACGTACATATCCACATTGACCAGTAGTGCTTACCAGTGGCAAGGTGGATGCAAGCACTTGCTTGCGAATGTCGATCAGCTCGGTAATGACCTTTCGGATTGTAACAAACATTCCATAGCGATCCTCCTAAAACCATCCAGTACACAAAGGCAGGAAAAAAAAGTTGGTACGTATCACTCAGTTTCCGAAGCATTGCCTTTACCTGGTGACGGCAAGTACATGAAATCGGTTAAAAAAAAACAGTACTTTTACTCCCTGCTGTCGATTGAGAGAAAGAGGATGAGAATAAGTGTACCCCTGCTGACCGTGACTGTCTCAGTTATCAGATAAGTACAGTTGTTGTCATGGTCACACTTTCAACGAATCAATACTCACCGCAGCCTGGTCGGCATACGTGAATGTACCATTAGAAAGGAAGAAAAGGGCCTCAGTTTATCAGTGCTCGTATAACATTCACCGATAATGTTCACCGATGCAACATTGTCCACTCATTGATTTAATTTGATTTATAGTTCAGCACATCCAGTAGAGAACACCACGTCTCTATATCATTGGCACATACCATGAAGTAGCGCTTTTGCCACAGCTCTCCCCATTCTGGCAAGAGCTGAGTGAGCTCCTGGGCTAGCAGGTCTTCTGTTCCTTCGACGACCTCATTCGGCCTAGAACACAGTGCAAGCCGGATTCAGTAATACATCAGCCAAATTCCCAGTCTCGCACACAAAAAGGGGTACAGATGCCCACCTAAGGTGGACATGGACAATAACTGATCCTAGAATTACTCCACATTGAAGTCCGCTGCCAGTGCGGGAATGGCGCGGCAAACTTAAGTATCTCCGTCAGCAGCCATCGCGTCGCACCTTCAGTGCAAGTGTGTCGTGCAATGACTAGCACTTCCAGCACGGCTATCACAAAAGTCTATACTGTCACTACCACTATAGTCTATTGCCCTCTGCTCCAGCTGAAACCCGAAGCACACAAGCTCGTGCAGCCATATTACCAGCCATGTTACCAGCACATACCCAGGATTCTTCACCGTGGCTTCCTTCAGATGAATGAAAGATGCCGGGAAGATTCCCTAGTAGACACAGGGGAAAGAGGGCACACGCCAGAGAAGTACAGCATATAGTCATCGCACGCTGAATGATAAGAGAACCGTACAGTTTACACAGTGCATGTTGCTGCCAAGCACTGCGTACATGTATGTGAACATCTGCTACACATACTCCGATATGGCCAGTGAAATCCAACCGCTCGCCCGAGACTGAGCTGCGCGACGAGATGCCCAGTGCTCATCATGGTGACCTACCAGTGCCGGGTGGAAGGGCAGCACGGTATCACTATCAGGACAGGCTGCCGCTAGACTATTGGTCCCGGCAAAAAGTGTGTCTATGGTAGGATTTCACCAGCCAGCAACGCCAACATGCATCACGAGTAATTTGCATGCAACTGAGTGGCAACAAGCCTACTGCCATAGGTCAGAGTATTATACATGTACTGCCGTACCTTCTGACGCGTCTTCAGAGCAAACCCTCGATACCAGCCTGATAGTTGGCAAAAATTCACACACACACGCACATGCACACCCATGGAACATAACTGCATAACGCCATACAGACTACAGCCGCTAACACTTCAAGGGGCAGATAAGAACAGAAGGTTCTTTCCATTCATGTCTGCTATTTTTTCTGCAAAATACGGACATGTCATACGGCAGATTGCAGTGGAAAAGTCAGCGTTCATTTTAAAACACCTTAAAACAATCGCCAATCAGCTTTCATTCACAGTCAGCTTTCAGCCAGTCAGCTTTCAGCTTTCATTGGCATTTTTCGATAAGCCCAGTCCCCTCCCCGTCCCCCTTCTCAGTGTAAGAATCTGTCATTGCCATTACATGTGCAGGCTAGTAGTACGTACGTACGTACGGTGTACAACACATACAAACAAGAGTACATAACCCCCCCCCCCCAGAGTGTGCAACGCCTGATCCATGTAGAGCTTGTACGTGGTACAGTGCTGGCAAATGAACGAAGGCCTCATGGGATATAGCAGCCATTGGTTGGCGCCGTGAGGCTAGCAGTATGAAAACTGGGTTTAATTATACGCAGTGCCGTGGTTGAGCAGTGGACATGTGGCAGTGCTGCTGCCATATTTACGAAACCAGACGTCACATGTCACCCGTGCTGCGCCCTGTCACCACTGTGTCTAGTAGCCACTGCATCCTGGCAGCAAGCCAACAAAATGTGCCCAGCTCTGACAGGGCATGTACGTAGGAGACTTTTCGCTGCGGTGCGCCTGGCAAGAAGCATGGCTCAGACATGTTTTCCTTCCAGGCATACTACTGCAGAGTCTGTCACGCAGTTGGCATCTTGCGCACAGGTGTTTGTGAGAGGTGAGCAGGAGATGAGGAGAGAGAGAGAGAGTGGGAGAGGGGTGCTAGCACTCCGTTCGCCATGCAGCAGAGAGGCCGTGCTTGGCGCGAAACATAAAGAAATCATGTAAAGACGATGTGTCTGGGTTAGAGTCGCAGCTTCGCCAGTTTTGGGTCCGGGTTTCTATGCAGAGACGCGGCTTTCTACATTGCGGCATACACAAACAAAATACGTACAGACTTGGTATGTACCACCTGAATTGATGTGCATGCAGACTTCCCGAAAACTATCCCACTCGGAACAGGAAATTCCAGTGCACATTTCACGTGCTTTCTTTGTGTGGGAGTAGAGTAGAGCATTTTCTTTGTAATGCGGGGCAGAACCTAAGTAGTGACATTGGCCGCAGCGTGTGCACTGTGCATCCATGTGCTTTTTTTTATTACTATGAGCAATGGGTTCATCGGCAATGCACATTTACAGGCATTCACGCAGATCACCGTCCTGCAACCAGGCTGAGGTTAGCATGCGTGCTCTGGCAGAACCATGGCAAAATTGGAACTACCAATTCGATTTGTAATGTAATTTGTTGGATTTCTTCCGATCCTCAGTGGTCTTGGCAAGTCTGTATGAGGTACTCAAGCATGTAATGTATCTTTATTTTCCGTCAAAAAGCTCATATTGCCGTCTTATCTGTACTACTAGTACTAGTATGGATAGACACGGATAAGAACTACCTAACTTACTCAGGTGCCCAGTCAGAGTGTATGACTCTGATGTGAACTTTTTTTCTCATTATTCAGTAGCTTGAGGGATGTTTACTTGGCGTGCACGATAGCGCACCGCGGGTGGCGCTTTCCGAAACGCAAAATCACATCACACCACATCAATTCTGTTCCACGCACAGCAACAACGCCATGTCTCTCTAGATTATCAACACTGTGTTACAAGAACTACAGTACTGACCAGCGCATTGCTCCTGGATCTGCACTTGATCGCCCAAGTCCAATTTCAAGAACTCTGGTCCCTTGCCCACCGGATCATAGTTGTAAATAGCTGCGGATCACGCAAAATACACAGCGACAAACAAGATCAGCAAAGACTACAGCCAAGCAGCAGCGAAACCGCCTGAGCACAATATTCACAGGTGACCCAAACCTGGCGACCTGGAGGCGCTAGACACCCTCGACCAATTTTCGGAGTGCGCCCAATGTAGCGCACATTGTATGGAGCAGAGCCGCTACCACAAGAGAGAACCACCCAGAACCAAGGATCGCGTGGGGTATCGAGAGAATCTGGCCTCACAAGGCCAGCAAGTGAGGTGGTCCCAAAACACGCGAACGCACTTACCAACACCAAGCTTGGCTTGGGTTGTTGGCCTCCAAACGTCAGACATGACTCAAAACTAACTGCGCTCCAGCCAGTGCGACTGTCTCCTTCGCTGTGGAGTGTGGTGCGTCCAGCAAACTAGCCACAAGCAGCTGATCCCGCTACTCGCTGCCCTTCACCAGGGCATCACCATTACAGTTGGAGCTCAGAAATCGTTCGCGAATCTCCCACAAGTCACAATAGTTGAATACCACAAGTCGACCGAATGAAGACTTTTTCGTAGTGACGACGGCCCCAGCATTGGTCTTGCAAACCACTCGCATTCTGCATCTGCTGTCTGTAGTGTAGATCTTTTATGGCGCATGGCGTGCACCGCGTTAGTGCCGTTACATGCATGTGCAGAGGCTTTGACCCGGTTTTGACCAGCACTAAACTACTTTCTACGTCGTGTAAAGCAGATCTACCTGACTACACTAGTAGTAGTAGTACTAGTAGATCTACACTAGAGTCAGTAGACTGGACTACACTGCCACACATGCACAGGCACCTGGGGCCGGGGCGTCCTGGGCACTGGTACATGGTGCATGCCGGGGTCATGGTGCACCGGTGGTGGATGATCGATGGTAGATCTACCAGACTGTCTGCAGGTCTGTGCGTGACTCAAATCCGGCGAACTGCAAAAAGCATGCAGTGCGCTGACTGTGTGACTAAAGTTGAAAGTCAAAGTAAGGAAGCAGTAGTGTGTGTGTGCAGTGTGGGGTGGGGGGGGGGGGGGGGAGAGGGGACCCGGGGAGGCATTAATTTTGTACAACCCAACCTTGGCCTTACAAGAACGTGGCCACAGACATCGCACACAAATTCCTCCGACTCATCGCGATATCGACACACACTTCCCTAATACATGTATAACGGCTGCCGATTGCGTCAGATATTCAACCGCAAGACCGTCAAAGTATTAGTTAGTTACTCCTGTATGCCAAAAATGTCCACAATAGTCAAATCCCATGATAATGATGTTCAAAGGAAGAGACAAACACAGGACAAGAACCATGAGAACGTCCCCGACAAACGATGTACATAATTGTACAAGTCATGTATCCGCCGAGACAAAGGCACCTGGCCAATGGACGGTGACTGCCAAGTACGATGCATCGTGCGCGTGGACAAGGCAACAGTCCAGCACACCGGAAAAGAGCAGCGACACTAAAAAAAGCACGGAACTGTCCAAGTGGCAAGTGCATTATGGAAGCTCAAGCTAATCAAAGGAGGCGAAAGCGCCTGTTTATGGTGCAACGTTAAACAAACTTCTACAACAACAGCAGCAGCGACGACGACGACGACAACAACAACAACGACGACAACACTTCACACTTGGTCAAATGGGCCGTCGTCACCAAGGGCACCCACTGCCTACTCTATAGTATAAGTCTAACGCGACTACCTGTTTTGTAAGCGATGCCCCCCCCCCCCCCCCCCCCATGCCTGGTTCAGAAATTGGAGATACATTATACTGTACTGGAAGCAGGCAAAACGGTCAACAATACATCAACAAAAGGTCGGAGTTGGTATCGAAATGCAGACACGAGAACAAGTAATACCTGTCCAAATTCTCACCATCAGTTGCCGTATTTTCCCTAATAAACGTACGTCTCCAATAGTAGCACTTGTTGAGAATGGATAGAAAATATAAAAGGACACGTCTCTAATACTAATAGAATAGCAGTACATGCCAGAATGATGTGATGGGCATTACCATGATTACTACTACTAGTACTACTGACTGTACTGGGGAACATAATCAGATAATTGTACAGTAAAACCTGTCAAAGCCGCTTGAACCGCTCTCATAAGGCGACCACCTCGGTCCTAGAGGGCCACGAGGCACTACAACTACACTACTGAGTCCGTCGGGCGCCGAAGAATTGGGGGGGGGGGGGGGTCAGGGTTCTAGCCTAGCCCGACGTCCGTTCTTATGTTTTACTAATTTTTAGCGAACACAGCAGTTTCCGGTTCTTATTTTGATGGTACAGTCTTATGTGCATATCGTCATTTATGCAGAGTTACAAACAAGGCCGGTCTAGACGGCTCCACGGGTAGAGTGCAGTGCTCAATGCACAAATGTGCAGAGCAGTAATCATGGTAATACCCACACAACAGAGGCGACAGGCTGTGGGAGTTGAAGTACATGTAGTTACAGCTACACAGCCTTTCGCCTCTGTTGTGTGTGTGTGTGTGTGTGTGTGTGTGTGTGTTTATGCAGAGTTATACGTCTGAGTGTACAACTACATTATACTATACTAGTATTTATCGCCTTCTTAGTATTTGACCCCACTAATTTCCCTGATACCTAAGCGGTCAAATATATCGCGTATTTGACTGCTTAGTCAAATACGCGATATATTTGACTACTTATATTTGACTCCTTAGAACTTCTTGGACTTAGAAATTTTCTCTCCAACTTAGAAAAAGAAATTTTGAAGAAAGCAGAAATACACAAGATGGGATTAGAACCCACAACCTTGTGAATCTCAGTCACTCTTCCTTACCACCCAGCCACTGTGCTACCGATACTGAACCTAGTTTAAACAATGATCTTGACTTTCAATGCAGTACAATGCGGTATAGGCTATAGTATAATACTAGAATTACAAGGATATGTCGTATATGAAGAGAAACTATTGCGTGGAGAACACGATAAATAGATTATAGACCTCATAGTTGGTCTATACAGGATATATAGACCTCGTAAAAGACCTCGGGGGACCTCGGTCTTTTACTCGGTCTATATATCCTGTATAGACCTCCTAACCGGTCTATAATCTATACGTATAACAGTTTCCGTTCTTATCTGCAAAACATCCAGCCCAGGCCGTTCTTAAAAATTAATGGTAAAATTCTAGCCTGGCCGTTCTCCAGAAGTCCGTTCTTCGGCGCCCGACAGTACTGTACCTGTCAGACCCTCCAAGGCATGCAGTTATTTCCACATCTTTCCAGTTTCCACTGAGTATAACAACCCTGGATAAGGAGACCACCTGTACATGGGGGCCACACTGATTTGTCGGGTTCCTCGAGCGGTGGGCTGATTTCGCTGTACATGTACATGGTTTGCCCATTTTTACCCCACATGTAACCATGGTAACCGTTGAGGGCACCGAGGGGACCCCCAATACTGGCAGCCAAGCCTGTAGATGGTTTGCCCATTTTTTACCCCACATGTAACCGTTGAGGGCACCGATGGGGACCCCCAATACTGGCAGCCAAGCCTGGAGGGTGATCAGAGTACCACAGACGAATTGACGTTAGCAGGTCTGCCAAGGGTAAGAGTGCGATGTAATTTTGTGGGGTGACGAAGCCTACTGCTATGATCTTGTAAGCGTGCAATTGGACTTACTGATTGCCTGCTCTCAAACTGGCTCAAGTCTGCAGAAATCGTGTGCATGCAGAGCCACTCGTCATTTTATACACTTCACACGTAATGACTACAGACTGTACTTCAATAACATCACAGCTATGATGTGAGTGTCTGAGAACCACACAGAACACAAGATATGCACACAGGTTCAAGAAAAATTGTTCACATGACAATGCAGGTGTGACGAATTGACTCACGGTGATTTGATAAGCTAGCTGTGGAATGGGAGCAGCAATGCTCAATATGCACGCGACAAAAGTTCAACCTGTGTGAGGTAACGATACTCTATTACACTGTACTGTGAGTACCAAGAGTTCACAATGCCCACCAGCCTCTTGGCAGGAGGAATGGGAAGCAACCAACTTGGGACAGCACCGATCTACTTTGAAGTACCAGAGTCCACATGTTGTGCCGGAAACGAAATGCTATTACGTGGGGATCACACCATCACAAGCATCAGGGGTGTGCAGCATGCTGTCCCTGCGATTCAAAAAATCAGTGACTAAACAGTCCTGCATCGTTGTCAACACGTACCAGCCGGGCAGGGAAAGACAAGCCGCAGATGCACCAGTGACATAATCGTAATGGTCCTGTGCAGTGACTGACATGTGTCCAGGTGGCTGTGGCAGCTGGTGGCTTGGATTTAGTAGATATATGAGAGTCAAGATAAACTCAAAATGCACCTTCTTGTCTGCGGCACTCAAATTAGCCTTTAGAAGAGTATTGTATACCTTTGAGCAGCATCAGGTGGTGTACTCCATGATCATGGGTTATTCCTCTAAATCAATGCTGGGAAGCACAAGCACCACCTGCCCACTAGCGCGTACCTTTGACATACTGTAGTGCTGCACTGTGAGTCTGTGACCATGCTTCATTCAGGAGCAGGTGGTGCTGAAGGAACAGGCTGCTCGGGTGAATTTACATCCTCTCGGTCTCTCACACTGCTTGTTCCGGCAGCACTGAGCAGAGCGGCAACTGCATCTCCTGCGCTCGACGAGGCTTCACTGGCGGCATCCATGGATGCCTTGGCGTCAGTAGCTGCCTCGGCAGCCTCTCGCGCTGCAGCCGCTGCCTCCAACGCCGTAGCTTCTTCCTGTCTTGCTTGTTCTTCCATCTCCTGCTGCCGCAAGGTTTCTTGTGCCTGTAAAGCAAGACCAGTCAGGGGCGTCAGAAGGTAGTTTAGTGCGGTACGGTCAGCCATCTGAAGTACAATTTACTCGTGGGCGAGGGGTGGCTGAGCCAAAAATTTTGGAAAGTTAGACCCCAAATCAGTGCATTTTATAGAATCACGGGGTACTTGGGGCAAATAGTGGTACGGTCAATACCGTAGTGACCGTACCGTGTGCGACGCCCCTGCCAGTAAAATATAATTAGTACAGATATAGATAAAAAGAAGGACAAAATGTTCCAAGTTATGCACAACTGTCCACCAAAATAACCAGATCATACATGTATAGTCAGCGAGTGTAACAAAAAGAGTTTAAATCGGGGGGGGGGGGGCGCTACATAATCTTGTCCAGCCATTTGGCCTTGGATATAAAGTACCTCAGCTACAAAGTACACGCACTGGTTGTACGCCCCGTGGAAGAGGTACGTTATGTTAGCCGGTCGAGGAGTTGTCTTGAGATGATCACGAAAATCTGCAGTACATGTGTGAGTGCCAGCAGACAGCATTTTGTGTACAAGGGCACCAGCATGCATGCGCGCGCGTGTGTGTGTGTGTGTGTGTGTGTGTGTGTGTGTGTGTGTGTGTGTGTGTGTGCGTGTGCGTGCGTGCATGTGTGTGTGTGTGTGTATGTGTGTGTGTGTGTGTGTGTGTGTGTGTGTGTGTGTGTGTGTGTGTGTGTGTGTGTGTGTGTGTGCGTACCAGCTGCACAGCTTCGAATCACAGATGTTCAGATCAATACCTGTACGTGTATGAACCCGGCCCGGCAAAGTGGAAATCACGTTCAATTCTGACCACTATGGCACACTTCTCACGGCATGCATGCACAGGCGTGCACGCCGATCACCCTTCATAGAAACTAACATGTTTTGTTACCGAGTGTTACCTTTTCCCCTGCGGGCCTCCCGGGCATCCTAGAACCACCCTTATCACGGTATGCCCTGACGCACAGCTGTGCCTGCACCAGGCATGTATACTGTAGTGATTAAAAAGCCTGTCTCATAGAAGCCTGTCTCAAAGAAGCCTGTTTTGAATAGAAGCCTGTTTTGAATAGAAGCCTGTTTTGAATAGAAGCCTGATTTGAATAGAAGCCTGATTTTTCGAGGTAAATGTACACTGTCGACACATACATATTATTATTTATTCATATTTTAATAGGGCAGTCCCCACAGACTCAAGAGACATACATGTATGTACACCTCAGTGGTTTTAGTGTTGACATACATAGAAATACCTGTCTTGTATAGAAGCCCGGTGTCTCATGTAGAAGCCTGCAAATTTCCCCCGAAAAGTCATATAAGCTGCGGCTTTTATACACGACTTTACGGTGTGCACATTGTACATACAACTTACTTGAACTCAACCTGCTGCACTTGCAAAGCAATCACCGCAACCCGTATCTACAAATAAAAATTTACACTGACATGGTCTTCACTCTTCAGCGCTCACTGACATGGCTTATGGTCATGGAGATCAACAAGATCAAGCCTATTTCTGCAATAGCACTGGCACTGGGAGTTCTGCATGATCCGTGGTCTTTTGACAATTAGTGATCACAATTGTGGCCTTGATTTGGGGACCTCTGAACATGGTTCAGACAAGCACACTACAGTATGCTCAGGCTACTAGGGCAGCACCAACAATGCCGATGACAACAAGCCGAGCCGTGGAATCAACAAGAAACACACTGACCTGCTCTTGGATCTCTTCCATTCTCTGCAGTGTGTACGACTTCATAGCCATGATCTTGGGTTTGCACAGTACCTGCAAGCGTGCACGCACGCACGCACACACACACACACAAACACACACACACACACACACACACACACACACACGCACGCACACATGCCAAGGAAACACTATTACATATGTGTACATGTAAATGTACATGTTACATGTACCACAACAGAATAGTATTAGGATTGGTACATGTACAAGTATGTTCTATTCTACATTTACATGTACAGTCCTCAGTGCTCAATGAAATCCAGCTGTGTCCGACTCAAGTTTGCGCCTCACACCATTTCACAGCTCAGCGTTCGCAGGTCTAAGGCTGCGCAACGCCGAGCGTGTATTTGAGTGACGCGACTGGATTTCATCGAGCAGTACTGTACATGCACATTGTACATAATTGCACATTTTACAATGTACAGTATGGTCATGGTGACAGTCAATTGTTCTTCAGACTTTTCCCATTTGAACTCCCTCAAACTTATGAATACTACTAGTACATGTGCAACGTATGTTACTGGTGTGTATTTTTCCGGTCCCAAACAAGTGAGCACAAACAAGTGAGCATGCTAGCATCAGCTTACGGAGGGTGTGTCCAGTGAATAGTGCAGCAGTCCGCTGGAAGGTAGCACCTCTCTCAGCTGATCGTACAAGGCATCTTCATCTGCGACCTCTTCCTGTCGGCCAGGGCCTGTAGCGGGAGTTGCGGCAGCTGCCCTCTTCGACGGTCTCCTTGTCTCCTCTGCCATAGCACCCACACTGGCATGTAGCCCTGGCGCAGCAGCGACAATGGGTTCACAAACTCCTGGGCTATAGCGATAGGCAGAGGTTTATCGTTCGCACCGCCTTCTCAGCTTTGGTGCGTTTGGACGCTTTTTCTACTATGATACAGTCGTGTAGATGCTGTCGGCCACCTCGCTGTCACCAACTATGCCTACAGTACAGTATGGTCACTTCGATGCCCGAGCCGAGTCGTTTTGCTTCTGACATTTAAAAAATTGTGCTGGTTCTGTCTTCTCCGTTTCTTTTGATTCATTCCACAGCTTCAACAGTTACTTGAGTTCAACTTCAAGCCTTCTGCACTGTTCAGCCTTTCACTGTTTCAGGGAATGACAAAGTAAGGGGGGAAACGGAGCTGAGCCTGCTGCTGAGGTCAACGGACGGATGATCAGTTGAGTTGATCACGGTTCGCGGTCCATTCTCGGATGGCAGGCGTTCTGGTGATGCTGCGAGTTGTCATGCCGGCAGAGGCCGGCAGCACGCCCTCGCGCGCGCCTCGCGCGACACACAATCGTGTGGCTTCTTCGTTTCCCGCGGTTTTCTCAGCACCACGTGCAAGTTTGGAGCGGAACTCGAACTGTCTTTTTGATTTTGATTTGAGTTGTGCTAGCTGTGTGAGTTTGATTCTCGGTCCAGTGGAGTTACCTCTCTGTTCTTAGCTGTATCTGGCGCAAAATTGGTGGAGTCGACAAAAACATACAAGTTCTAGCCTGCAAGTCTTCTTTGATAGGAATTGTTCCAACAAGATGCCGTCGCAGGAAGGGAACATTCTGAATGACCCGCTGGGTGTCGTGCGGATGATATTTGGTGAGATGCCTATCCCTGCACTGCTGTTTCTATTTCCCAGTGCATTCTCTACGGTATTATAAACTGACTGCTAACTCCTTCTGCTGAATGTGCAACGGCTTTCATGTAGACAAGGAAACTGGTGCACGACACAGCTTAGTGCATGTACAATGATATTGGAATTCAGGGCACGTGATATAGCCAAACAGTGGGGTGTATTTGAACCTGCCCTTCGAATTGTCCGGTACAAATGTACAGCCTACAGGGGGGGGATGCTCAGCTCTGCTGTGTGAATTTTTTTCCAGGGGACTGGCTCGTAGCAATGCCGGCATGGTTCTCACTTTGCATGTCCTGATAATTGCTAGTACATGTACACGTGTGAAGGAAGGATCAACTCTGGGAAGTGAAGACTATGGCGTGTACTGTTGCTTCGAAGCATGTACAGTACTAAACATACATGCTTCACAGTGCGGCATGCGCGGATTACGCGGCCGTACAATTTTTGCATGACCACCTGTCACTCGCATTCTCCCCAACGCATTCACGCTGCACAACTTTTCACTACTTTCACTTTAGCTCATACATGTACATGTACATGTACACCCTTCAAAGCGGTGAACCCCTTGATAGGTGACACGCCTCTGGGTCATCCTAATAAACATATCATTACAGTATTCAGGCACAAGTTCCGCTCGCTGACCTAGAGCACAGCAATGCCGGGCAATCACTGGCGCTCTTCGTTTTCAGTCAAAATCTGCTGATGAAATTGTGAGTAGCGGCTGATAGGTCTGTCGTGAAATGCGCAGCAGTTCAGCGTGCTTCACCAGGTGCTTAGCTAGCGCCCCTACCGGTCCACTTCTGGCGAAATGCTAGCGCATGCACAGTGCAACTGTCGCATACTAGTGCATAGTCGTCGCATAGCTGACGGTTTTGGCCATATTATTATGCGCACGATTTGAGAGATTCATCCGCGCAAATCACGGGGATGGAGATTATGGTATGCTGTGAGTTGCTGCTGTACCCCTGCTCACATTATAGTGCTGTATAGCATGCTACAGCATGTATTAAAACAAGGTGGACACAATGCCATAGTGCTGTATAGCATGCTACAGCATGTATTAAAACAAGGTGGACACAATGCTGAGCACGTGTTAGTCTACCCATAGAATGCTGTAGATTTTCGTCTCAATAACACCTTTTTTTTGCGCGATGATAGCGATGCTACAGCAGAAGCCATAGCAACTTGTGCCATAACACCACGAGGATGCATAAATGAACTGCGCCGAGCTCTGATTGTTCTCTTGTGATAAATTCTCTTTTTATCACGAACACAGAGGAAATACTGTCTTCTCTGTGAAACTGAAATAATCATAACTTACTTTGTCAGGAAATTTGGAGAACTGTTTTGGATATTTACTAGTTGAGGGAATGGAGAAGGGAAAAGTTTGAAGAAGAAAATATTGACTGTCACCACCAGGACTCGAACCAGGGACCTTCACTTGAGGCCAGCGATGCTCTAACCACTGAGTTATGGTGTAGCTGTCATCCCAGCAGAAAATTCTCTTCAGACTTCGAAACTGTTTTGGAGCTCACGTTTTGTGAAAAAAGCCCGCATCATGCAAGCTCATGGCAGATAAGTTTTACAAGCAGAAAATCAAGTCAGCTTGATACTTATTTCACTACGTAATCGCAGCACGCCACCCACAGCACCCATAGCACCCATAGCTCTCAGAGTGTGTGTGTGTGTGGGGAGGGGGGGGGGGGGGGGGGGCAATGGTCTCTTACCCATCGTACCCAGGGCACTTTAGAATGAAGTGTTTTCTTGCTTTCTGTTTTTTTCTTTGTTCATTCATCCCTTTTATTAAAGTGAGAGTGGATGTCCTGTATGTTGTTCGTGTCTCACAGAGCGCTGTCGAAATGGAGAAGGCGAATTTGCAACAGAGTTACAGAAGCAGGTGAAATCACGCATCCTGAATGCGGACGATGTGTCCTGGGTAAGAACCAAGAAGTTGTTGACTGACAGAAGACACTGCTAATACACGTCTTCAACTGTATAATTCAAGCTGTAGTTTGGAGGCGGTGAAAATAGTTTCGCAATCTATACCTTCGCATGCAAAGACGCAAATCCACACAATCAAGTAGACACTTTCTTCTATCAAACGTTTTCCTTCCCTTCTCTTCAGGATAGTACAGGGAACTTCAACTGTATACTACAGTCAATTTCGCTAATAGCGACTGCGGATATAACGACAATTCGCGAATAACGACAGAATTTCAATGCCCAGAGCAAAGTCCATTCTACCTGTATACATATAATGAGACTTAGGGTATAACGACACTTCGCGAATAACGCCACTTTTCTGATGCCCGGCCGAGTGTCGTTATACGCACAGTTGACTGTAGTATTTTAACCTACTAGTAGCCTGCTGTTGCTGTTGTTAGTATGATTGGTGTGTGTGTGTGTGTGTGTGTGTGTGTGTGTGTGTATGTGTCTGTGTGTCACGTGTGTGTGTGTGTGTGTGGTGTGTGTGTGTGCATGTGTGCATGTTTGCACGGCCCGTACTCTGCCAGATTCCATCCCTGAACGATGTGCCAGTCTCGCAGCTGAAGGGTTCCTGCATGGTGCGCTACCGAGGCATGATCCAAGACATGTTTGGGCCGGAAATCTTCCTCGCCCAGTATGAACTGGCGGAGAGCAACGGCGGACCAGCGCGGGTAAGGGTTCTGTTGAAGCGTTTGGAATGAGATGTCACAGGCATACACGTACATTGCAAATACCCTTACTGAACAGTGTACCAATGCTGCGTTAAGGGTCCGGTGCCCTTATTGCCTTTAGTGCGTACATCCACTGTAGTCCACGTATTATTATTGTTTGCAATTTCGTGTCATCGTCAAGTCGAAAAATTGGAAGATGCTGATGCCATGACAACGTGAAAGAAGGAGTCAGTTCACGTACATACTGTAAAAAAAAGGGACCAGCAGTACTCGTGGCTGAAAGGCCAGCGCCTTGTGGCCGCTTGACTTCTCAACAGATTTCAATTTCCACAACAGTAGTTACAGTATCAAACATTTATGCTATGTGTGTGTATGTGTGCGTGTACGTGTGTGTGCGTGTACGTGTGTGTGCGTGTACGTGTGTGTGCGTGTACATGTGTGTGTGTGTGTGTGTGTGTGTGTGTGTGTGTGTGTGTGCGTGTGTGTGTGTGTTTGTAGGCTCATGCCTGTTCAGTTTTCGGTCATTTTTGATTTCTTTTTGCCTGCATGTGCTGTTGCAGGATTTGTGCTGTGGCTGGTATCAAGACATAGCCGACTGTCCGGTGAGATTGTCCTGTAGACTATCAGCTATTCCATGTAGATTACCTCTTTCACCTATCAATTCCTAACTAGAGATTAGCAGTACGGGTATAGCAGTAAGTTAAGTGAGAACCACTAAAATTCCACATTCGATCAAGTGCAGCGTTTGATTGGACCTTGGTGGATCCTAATTATCCACTCAATCGATCTGGATCCGGATCCAACCAATCGAACATACCCTTTGACTTTGAGTTAAATCATGAGTTTGATTCTCTACTGGACTTCAGACTGCTTATGGGACATTGACTGCTTATGGGACATTGACTGCCTAGCGAGTGCAACATGTATCTGCTGTATGTTTGTGTTGATCCATCAATCCTGTTGCTGCTGTTTGTGGTGTGTGCAGCCGGGGCGCGTTGTGATGATGGAGTCACTGAACCAGGTGCTGGGCGAGCGACAGGCGTTCTACTGTGTTCCACTGCCGGGTGAAACCACGTGGGCCAAGCAAGTGAGTTTTAGCTGGACCAGGCGCTGTGCACTGCAGCCTATTCAAGTGCCACAATCCTTTAGTGTTGATTGAATATCTTGCAGACAAGACCTATGTTGTCAGCGCACAGCCCTTCTCGTATAACCTGCTATGGGAACCTGAAGTACAGATCTCCTGCAGTCTCTTCGACCCGCACACTTCATTGTAAAGCACTTATCAGTTATCCTAAGACAACCCGCGTCTCTGGAAGTTTATGAAGCGTACATATTAATTTCGTGCCGTTGTGTAAAATTCGTGACATCTCGGGCTTAGCATTCTTCGGCCAGGCTGGGGATGCCTGTGCTACGTAGGACTCGACAGCGATCAGTGTGACAATCAGTTTGACGATGATCCGCTTGGGTTATTCTGTCTGGCCTTTGTTTACTCCTCGTGTCTTGTAGGCGTTTGCAAGTCAGAGTAAAGTGCAGGATAGCCTCAACTCCAGTCAGTCTAGTTTGTCTACGCAGGAGGCCACGGCGAGTGGCAGCGAGACAACATCGCCCACGCGCAAGCGTGGCCATGCGGACGATGAAGACAGTGCTTTCACTGGTACCGCCGCTGCACCCAGCACTGGTGGTGAGGTGACAATGGGAGAGGACTTGACTGGAGAGTCGTCAATGCAGAGGGAGCATGCACCGGCTGACGGTGACGGAGCTCAGTCCAAGCGGGTGCGCACGGACGGAGCCGAAGCTCAAAGTGAGTAGTGGCACATGTGCATGCTCATGGCCTTGACGAGCTCCAAACTAAGAATTGCTCTTCCCGTTTCCTGTCCAACCCCTGCTAAATTCTCTACCTTATGTTTTGTGTTTTGTTGTTGCAGACTCGACCAGTGCAGACTCATCAGCAGTGGCTCCCGGTGTCCAGTCTTTGGACAATCTCAACTTTCCATTACCTGGTGAGCGGGGTCCACCGTGCATAGTCAAGGTAAGTGGCTTGCTGGTGTGGCCCCGAATTTACGGTTTGCAAGTAACCTTACTCTTTTCTAGTACATGTAGAAGTAACTTCGCTCTAAGTTACTAACCATACCCTTACTCTACCCCAGTCTACATGTGTACTGGCATGCACCCAAGCAGTCATTGACCTACATACATAAGTACATGGAGTTCTGAGCTACACCTGTGCTATATCCATGCCATGATTGTAGCTATAGCGGTAGTGACGGTGAGCCTGCTGGATGTGTGTTTCTCTTGGTGCTGGTCAAACCCGGCCGCTGCACATTGATATCATTTTGGGCTCTGCTGCTGAGTAAACTGAACATCTCCCCTGAGTGCCAGCCGGGTATTTCTTTGCCGAGTAAAATAGGTGTCTTCAATTGTACTGCTCATGTGTTGCTGTTTACCTTTCCCTGCTATGTGGTAGGTGTACGAGGACATAGAGTCGTACCGTGTCAATGAGATGGTGGAGTTTGTTGGTGTTCTCTCCGTCGATCCTGCATTGGCATCGGATTCCTACACTCACAGGTAGGAGGACATACCTCTCTCTCTTTCACTCTCTCTCTCTCCTTCTCTCTCTGTCTCTGTCTGTCTCTCTCTCTCTCTCTCTCTCTCTTTCTCTCCCTCTCTCTCTCTCTCTCTCTCTCTCGTGTGGAAGTGTGTGTATGCCAACACACACACACATGCACGGGCACGTGTGTTTGTGTGCATGCTTGTACAATGCCAGCTGCACAGACTGCGATCTCATCACTCTTCCAGTCTTGACACAATGTGTGTATATGCTTGTGTTGCAGCGCCGCTGAAGTGGGCATGGACGTGGACACAGCGAAGGAGGACGCAGCCCATGCACCACCGCCAAGCATTGTACCGCGTCTGCACTGCATTGTGGTCAGGCGGCTGCCGCACTCCAACCCACTGCTCCCAGCTGAGACCAGCGCGTTCAAAGAAGGTGAGTGGCTCTGTGCACCGTCAGCTTTGTGTTGTAGTCAAGAATACCAAATTGTCCCCTGTGATGTTGCGTGCCTGTTGTGCAGTGTCAGCCGAGGCTCTGTCGAATGCCAGTGCGTGCCGTGAAGAGTTGCGTCAGCAGTTTTCAGCGTTGTTGGCCGGCGATCAGCTTGCCGCCGAGTACCTGCTCCTCCATCTAGTCTCCACAGTGTAAGACCTGCACTTAGCACCATAGCACATTGCTGCAAGGTTCCACCGCAGCACACACACACACACACACACATACACACACATACACACACTACTACTACTGCTATGTACAGCTACCCTATCGGGCCACGCCGCTCCCAGAAGCGGGAGACAACGGCAAGAAGAGAGAAGAGAGAGAAATCGCAAAGTCAACGGTATTTGGCATGGCGTTGCAAGTCCTGTGGCGTTGAGAACCGTCTTTCACACACACACACACACGCATGCGTTGGTGGCACATCACAGCAGAGCTCCGTGCATGTGTTTGCGTTTGTACTTCGTGGAGTCATGTTATGTTCACGGGGCAGCTCTTCCCAGCTTCACTAGCGTCATAGCGTGCTTGATATTGTCTGTCCGTGTGTGTGTCTTTGTGTGTCTGTGTGTACACGACTAGTGCAGTGCTAAGGTCTCCCTTGCCACTATTGACTGTGCTATCCCTTGCCACTATTGACTGTGCTCTCTGCAGGTACGCCCGCCATGATGCCTCCACCATGGGAAAGTTTTCTCTCAACCTGTCCGGCGTTCCTCGTGCCGATTCGGCCGCCCTGATCCGTCAACTGGCTGTTGCCATTGAGCAGATTGTACCCAAGGTTAGTTAGTGAAGAGACAGGTCCAGCCCAGGGATTCACGAAATGCACCGCTGAATAGGCCGTTTCATTTAGACAGCCAGAGACAGTACCGCTATAATGATGTTGTGCTCTCCATTTTTGTTGCTGCTGCTGTTCAGTTCTACAATTTGCCGATGTCCCTGGGTCACTTGAATAAGCAGGCCCTCTGTCCCAAAAAAGACTATTCAACCAACCGGTTAACTACTGGCCAACTCCAGCTTTCTGAAGGTAAGCATAATGTTGAAGTGTGTTTAAATCAATCTTGCAACGGGGAGAGTTATCAGCTGTGAGTAATAGTAGTTTGCATTGAAGATACTGCACTGAAACCTGTCTAAGACGACCGCTCAAGGGACCTTCTGAATGTGGTCTTTGTAACCGGGTGGTCTCCTTACCCAGGGCCATTTGACTGGACATAGCATCCCTTGGTTTTTATTGCAGTGGTCTTCCGGGACAGGTTTTACTCTGTTTCATGTACACAGTCAGTTAGTCCGCTGGATGTCTGGCGAAGGCATCATTTTCGCTTGCACATCGCGCAGCTTTCGGGGATTTGATCATTCTAGACTTTGGTGCTTTGGGAATTTCCCGATGGCAGTCATCTTTGAAGAGCTGATGAGGAGGCATTTTTTAAAATTTGCAATGAATAAGATTAACTGCACAGTCGTTCTATGTAACCATGCATCTATGCATCTGCTCGTACAGTCACCCTTTTTTTCATGAACAGCTAGATGAGGGATATGGGATGATGGGTGTGGATATCTATAATTTATCTAACAGTTACTTTGTCTTTTCCATACTGCTGTATGTAGGTACTGTTATGCTACTGGATGAGACGGCTCTGAGCGAAGGGCAGCTCAACGAAACGGGCATTTCCAACATCGTAGCCATCAACAGCGTGTTGAGCCGACAGCAGCTGGCCTATGACTTCCAGTACCAGACTATTGACTTCCCAACCAACGTGGTATGCACGGTTAATAGTGCTTTCTAGGTGAAAATGTTGAGTATCTGGAGTTCCAAGCAAGAAAATCTCCAGGTGTTGTGGTTGACTAGTTCAGGCTGTGGCTTATGGCATTGTGGGCATGGGATTCTAGCTGTACGGCGGCTGGTTTGAATTGTGCACGTACTCTGTGTGTGTGTGTGTGTGTGTGTGTGTGTGTGTGTGATTTTTTACGAAATGCCCTCTCTGCAAAATACACTGAAGAGACCAATGCTGGCCTTTCGGCGCGTAACAAGCAGTTGCCAACTCCAAAGGAGATGGTGGAGTGGTTGTGAGCTTATTACTTCTTCTTTCCTTTTGCTCTTCTATTCTTTGTCTCTGTCCCCACCAGAATGCCATCGTCGTCTCGGAGGGCAAGTCGATCTTGCAGGTATGGGTGCTGGCGAGTGTTTACTTGAAGATTTTATTTATGATTGACTGGCTACTGTGATCGCATTGGCTTCTCCTCTCCAAAGCGCTGTGCACGTGTTTTCATTGGTTCTTCCATTGTGCCTGTGTCCCACAGGTCGACTGTCAAGTTCCTTTGCAAGCCACGGCGGACGCCCCTACTGTGAACTCGCTATCGGCTGTTCAGCTCAATATGCTGAGAGTCTACTTGACAGCCGCGCAGCGCACTACGTATGATCTGCCGGAGGCTGTTCAGAAGGTAAGGCGTTTGCACTGTTTGGTGGTGGGTGTCTAGCTGAATGGTGGAAAGGTGTTGAGTGTTCACCGCAGTCTTCAGCTGCGTTCCTCGCTAGTACCATTGTTACTAATGTTCAATGTCACCTTCTCAATGTTCTCAAGGCTATCATCAATTGACCTTTTCTCTTACATCTGTTATGGTCAGCATTTGCAAGAGGACTTCGTCACGATGAGAAAGGAGCGCCCCGAGACAGTTACTGCTGATACTTTCCATCGTCTTTTGCTTGTTGCAAGGTGAGACATGGTTTCCTCCCCGTCGATGTGAAGATGTGTGTCGTGATAGTTTGACGAGATCGCCACGAACCAAAGGGACGTGGAGGTAACCTTTCTCCCTCCCTCCCTCTCTCTCTCCCTCTCTCTCTCCCTCCCTCTCTCCCTCCCTCTCTCTCTCCCTCTCTCTCTCGCTCACACATCAACCTATAGTCCATTCACCAAATCGGGGTCCATACGTTCCATACGTTTTTCACAGTCTCACTTCATTCTTATTCAAGATCGTGACGTCGGTGACGTGTATAGACCAGAAACATGATAGCCGTTGTTTTAAGCCTACGGTGAAGTCAATACGGTGAAACATGATCAAGATATGTGCAAAAAGTATTGTTTGAGACACATGTATCAGGGGCCCTGATTTGGCAAATGGACTATAGGTGTTCAACTCTGCATGGACAGCAGAATCTATCGTTTGTCCACAATTGTACTGTTGCACTGCATCAATGCGATCTGTGATATCGAAAATGACATTGTTCTCCCGTAGTCCGTTGCGATCTATATCAGATCTTCTCCAGCAGATGTGGCACCGACATTTTACTCTCGCTCCAGAACAGCAGAACAAAATGATAGGACAGAAGACAATAAACAATGCACGCAAAAGCGGCGTATGATTAGCTCGTTATCGGTTCAGATAAAGAAGTTGTGCCTCTATATCTAGTAACAGCTACCCATAACTACTGCTTTGCCGTTTGATCTCATCGTCGTTCACAGGCTGTTGAGCATCAGTCGTGGCCAAGTGGCGCTGGACATCACTACCTGGAACGACGCAAAGCAGCTTGAAGCTCGTCGTCTAGAGCGAGTAGCTGCTCAACCAGTTGCACCTGCCAGTTAAGTGTTGCGGCGTCAGTGCGAGTACGTTGACTTTGTGCGTGTGTTCATCATCTGTTTGTTGCGAGCAGCTTGACCAATGCCTTGCTGTAACCTAGGTGTGAACACACAGAGCAACAACAGACAGATTGTGCATCCCAGTTGGTGTGTACAATTGTCATTCAAGCTGAACACCCATGGTTCTCAGTCTCATCACTCATTGTATAATAATAATATCAATTGGTCACTGCTGCTACTGCTTGTGGCAGGTTGAATGTTCCTTACCATTGAATGGGGGACTTCCATTGCACATTATTTTTAGCAGCATCTACCAAAAACTTGCAAGATGTTACCACTGTACAAATCCTCCTTACTTTGCTGTGTTCCTGTTCCTCTGTGCCAGCTCACTTGTACCTGCATATCCCCTCAATCATAATACATGTAGATTATGTTGAACATGGTGTTTCCTTTTCAAACTTTTATACTTCTCTTTTTAAAGTATTGCTTGCATGTGTCTGTGATTGTGAAAGACGCATCACTGCGATACTTCGAATTGGACTCACTATTGCCAAGAAACTGTGGCCTGGCCATACTTGCCCCTGTCTCCTGTTCCTATTTTTACCGTGAGGATTGTGGTGGAATGGGCAGTTGCTGGCACAGGTATCCGGATGTGAAAGCCAAGCGGCATCCGCACAGCCACAGATCGGCGGCAAGGCTATGTGCTGAGATCTCTGACGCACACGCTCCCTCAGAGCATCCAAGTACCTGCCAGGACAGCCAGACACACAGAGGAACGGACTCATTCCCTTCAAAGATCGAAGACGGCAAATCACCTCTCTAAGGACTAAAACGAAATCTGTTGTTTGCACCAGGACTGGACGGTTTGTTATCGTGTTGAAGGGAGTGTGCGGTGTGTCAGGTTATCGTTGCAAACTTCCAATTTCAGATATTCGCACACTCCCATGCATGCACATGCACATACACAATTATGATTACAAAGACCTTGCAAGCGTACCCATGCATTGTACGAAGCCTAGGTAGCAGCAGATCATCAAGGCACGGCTGTTTTCCAAAAATGGTGTCTGTGAAGTTGAAGGCATACCTTGCCATGTTGAGCTGTTTGCTTGCGGTCTTTGTTGCTTCGGACCGCTCCACCATGCCTCCTTCATGTTGGTTATGGCACCCTCCAGCTTGCAGTTGCACTGGTGGATCGTGGCCCTTGTCAATTTGATCTTGCACCTAACAAGAAAGCAAGGTGTTGCTTATGACCCGAGGTATTGTTTCTGGCATTCACTGCATACTGCAAGCAGCTTTGGGGCAACGTAACATACGAGGGTACAAGGCTGCCTAATGTTTGCTTCAATATCAGAGAGCCCTAAACATACCACGGTACTGTATTGAATAAAGGCATGGCTTATACTTACCAGGGAGTAGTGCAATACCGTATTGTACTACTCCCTGATACTTACCATGTGTAGAGGCAGCATAAGCACTGCTAAGATATCTCCCTGGTCTCAACCTCTGGATTGGAAATCAACCGCACATGGCGCTGCGCCATATGGGAACCGTGTACGAACATCAACAAAGGACGGTTTCCGAGGAGACTTGAGGTGGCGGTAAGTGTGCACTATGCACCAGCATGATTGTAGACCTTGAAGAAAGTGATATTGTGAATCACGCTACATGCATGCATCCACTTACCTCAAGCTCGTAGCGTTCGTACTCCCGGTGCTGCACCACTCTGCAGAGTTCAGGATGAAACCGATTGCAGACGCCATACAATAATTATTGTCTATTCCAATAGATGAAAACGTGCAGCCCCTTTGACTGGAGGTATGTCATGCTGCTGTTGTTGGGTTTTTTTGTTGTTGTACATGTAGCTTAATTTGAAAGGAACGATGTTGCAATACTTTTGCTGAGTTCAGTCACCGTCTGAAAACAAATTACTTCAGGAAGTAGTCTCTCACCGATTCACCTGCTGTTGCAGCTGCCTCTGTCGACGCTTTTCCTGAACTTGCGCCCGTTCGAGGTCCATGAAAAGGCGCCGGCTCACAGGCACTCGAGATTCCAGCTATATGCAACAGTGTCACAATAGAAAATAATTATAGAAACAGAGCATTGTTGTGTCCGGGTATATGAGTAGGTAATCATAATAATGAGGAAGGCTCCACAGCATACATGGGCTGTACTAGCATACATGGGCTGTACTAGCATACATGGGCTGTACTAGCATACATGGGCTGTACTAGCATACATGGGCTGTACTAGCATACATGGGCTGTACTAGCATTATCCATATAAAAACCACTCTGTGAGCGGTTCTGAAAAACCTTTACTGGTACTGCCCCGTCGTAAAAGTAAGAAATTAGAACTGGCCCATTGTCCCCCCAAATGCGAACTGGTCCACCTAAATCGCGAATGACGGGACCCGAACGCACCAGTAGCACGAGGTCGGGAGGGCACAGGACAGCAATTCTCATAGGGTAACACCACCTACCGCTAGTACAGACGGTCAGTACATGGCCTATAGTCCGGACCAACGTCCCCATCTGCATTCACAGGTAGGAACCTCGTGCTACTGGTGCGTTCGGGTCCCGTCATTCGCGATTTAGGTGGACCAGTTCGCATTTGGGGGGACAATGGGCCAGTTCTAATTTCTTACTTTTACGACGGGGCAGTACCAGTAAAGGTTTTTCAGAACCGCTCACAGAGTGGTTTTTATATGGATAATTTCAGTTCTTTTTCCGTTCCCTCCCCACCCCAACCCCAAAGGTAAACATGATGACCACGCGCGCGATGTACTGTATGTAGCCATGAGATTGCAATAACACACTGATACATACCAGCCCTCCCCGCCTCGCTACCCCACACACAGATACACAAACATGCGTATGCACACGGCACACACACGTGGCCACGCACATGCACACGACACAAACAGGAAACTAAGTTCTTCATATATAATGCCATGCAAAGCAGTGGCCACCGTACTTGAGGAAGTCAGTTGTGAAACAAAAATAATGCAACTACAGCATGTAGACAAGCTGACGGCCAAAGCACAACATAGCAAACATGACATTTGCCCAAGGATTGCAGTATGCAGACCACGCCATGGAAGCAGCGAATACAGAATGTAATATCATACAAAGTGACAAGCAAGGAAGTGGCCATCATACACCAGAAACTTGCAGAAAGTCACACATCCAACAGATAGAGAAGTGAACAGCAATCTGATACAGCCCACACAGGACAAAGCTGACCTGATACTCGTCCCAGGATCGCAAGTGGCAAATCCTTTTCAATGCATAACATGCAGGTTTACGTTAGACGCATGGACAACATCTGACCGTGTCGCCAGCATACAATGTCATCACATGTTTACCCCACAAGTTACACACATGTACAGTAGAAGCACAATGAAAGCAATGGAAAAGTACGATGTGGTTGCTGAAGCATCTTCACACTTCAAATTCAGACTTCAATGTGGTCGTCACGGGATGATATACCTGCAAGATACAAGTGATGAAGAAAGAAAGCAGAAGGTCGTGAGGTAGGCTATGAGTAGCCCTTTCCCAAAGATGCCATAGTTTTTCGCAACTTATGCAGAATTGTCATAATCGAGCATTTCCCAAACTGAGAAGTGCAATGAAATCCACTTGCATGCACAGGAGCAATTTTGCAATATTATGATGCGCAATTCGACACGATCTGCGATGCTGCGTGCGATGTGCCCTGCTGTCATGATGGTGACAGTCACCGCGGTATGTTTTGTCAACGTCGCCCGTGCACTCTTCTGTCAAGTCCAAAGTGCTCACATACTTGGCAATGTCTTTGCTGTGATTAACTTTTATCCTAGTTATGTCACGGGTAACTTTAATGAAGTACCCACAGGCCGTGTCGATCCGCACATCGTCCACTCTCTCATGTACTTGGCCTGCTTTGTCTGTGTATCCATTTCATGTGCGATCCACAAAATCGACTAGACAGTGGGTGCAATACGCTGTCTATCTGAAGACGTTCTTCTGGCGACATCTCGCCATGTACTTGGCCTGCTTTGTCTGTGTATCCATTTTCATGTGCGATCAACAAAATCTCAATGCACTACAGACTAGACAGTGGGTGCAATACGCTCTCTATCTGAAGACGTGAACCATTAAAGGGGAAGTTAAGGCAAAAATTAAAATTTCACCAGTTGTAGTCTTCGGGGTGCTGAGTCGAATGGTCTTGGTCCGAGGAAGCTGAGACGCTCCCTTCCTACTTGAATCCCAATCGAACTCGCGCACTTCCACCGAAACTGGGTGACTGCGCCCTACGAGATGGGGATTTGTATGCAAAATGTCACTAAAAGCGCCATTTCGTTCTTATAAAAGCACGGATGACCGCGATTGGCCCATATGTTGTAGTCTTTTGGACGCTGAGTCGACTGGTTTTGGTCCGAAAAGGCTGCGATGCAGCGTTCCGCCTTTATTCCCAATCGAACATGGTTGAACAAGCGGTCACGTGCTCCTGCGTACACCAGTCACCTGGTCACCGTGCCTGCAGGGTACAACTTACTAGCCTGTTTGACCTTTTTGGGTGCAGTCCTGTCACTCGAGTTGAACTCGAGTTGAACCTTGGTGTGAAAGTTGTCACCTGCTGGCGTGGTGACCAGGTGATTTGGGCACCCAGGAGCACGTGACCACTTGTTCAACCATGTTCGATTGGGAATAAAGGAGGAACGCTGCATCGCAGCCTTTTCGGACCAAAACCAGTCGACTCAGCGTCCAAAAGACTACAACATATGGGCCAATCGCGGTCATCCGTGCTTTTATAAGAACGAAATGGCGCTTTTAGTGACATTTTGCATACAAATCCCCATCTCGTAGGGCGCAGTCACCCAGTTTCGGTGGAAGTGCGCGAGTTCGATTGGGATTCAAGTAGGAAGGGAGCGTCTCAGCTTCCTCGGACCAAGACCATTCGACTCAGCACCCCGAAGACTACAACTGGTGAAATTTTAATTTTTGCCTTAACTTCCCCTTTAATTTTTTTGGAAAAGTTATACGTACACCTGAAACGTAATGAAGTACAGGAATAGAGAGAGTGACTACAATACGCTCTCGACCTGATATAGTGATAACGTGTTAGAAGGTAACAGGTCTACAGTCCCACCGTACCCTTCCGACACGACTGTAGACCATTAATTTTTTTTGACCTGATAACGTGTTAGTAGAAGGTAACTGGCAACATATCAATGGGTTGCCTTACCGTGGTCTAGAGGAGACGTCTTCACAGCAATATTTTCCCTCCTGCGCATTCAGTCGCCGACGCGACAGCGTTTACTGGGCCGTTCCAGTTGCGGAAGACATTCGATTCATCGGGCCAATTCAGCAACAGGGCTGTGGACACACAGGGGGCAGAGGAGAGACATTGTTAGTGGGCAAGAAATATGCAGTGGCAAGTGGCGAGTGCCGCATGGATGTCAAGTTGTCATTCACAATTCAGCTATTACTTACGGTCCAGCTAGTCCTGCCATTGCTCGCTCGTCCTGGTTCCTCCTCGTTCGTCTTCCTGCACGTCTGCACTTCTCCTTCCCCACCGTTGGCTTTGCGGTATGGGGGTGCCGGAAGGAATTCCCACCATGTATCCATGTACATGAAGTCCCACCATGTCTCCACGGCCACGTCAGCAGTTTGTATAGTACCGGAAGGAGTTCCCACGATGTCTCCAAAGGCCTAGAGCGGACGTCTTTGCAGCAATTCTTTTCGCCCTGCGCATTCAGTCCGCCGACGATGTCTCCAAAGGCCTAGAGGGGACGTCTTTGCAGCAATTCTTTTCGCCGTGCACATTCACTCCGCCGACACGACAGCGTTTACGGGGCCATTCCAGGTGCAAAAGGTCCACGTCAGCAGTTCTCAACTATTTCGCGTACGGAATAGTCGCCGCGACAGCGTTTAAGGGGTCGTTCCAGGTGCAAAAGGTATCCATCAATGGCACTTTGCAGTATGGGGTACGGAAAAGGGGCCTCCTCGTTCGACTTCGTCGACTTCTGTAGTTCTCCTTCCCGTCAGGGGTACCGAAAGGGGCCTCCTCGCAGTTGTCCTTGCCGTCAGGTCCACGTCATGCAGTTCTCAACTATTTCGCGTACGGGATAGTCGTCTTTGTCGTACGCGACATCGGCGTTTACCGAGTGGCATTGGCACAAAGCAGACCGTTGACGGGGTCACGTGTCAAAAAAGTATCAACAACGTGTCGACTACGTGTCGACCACGTGTATAGCGGTACACTCAGCGGTACACTAATTCTCGTGCCATTCTCGTGTCACAAAACTGGAACATCGAGTACCAGTATGGAAAGGCTTCAGACAGGAAGCCTTTCCAATCATACTTTTGAAGTCCAGTGCTGCTCAGTGAAGTCCGATCGTATGAGTCAAGTTTGCGCCCTGCATGACTTCAGCATCCCAGTGTTAACAGGCCTAGGGCTGCACAGCACCCGGCGTGGCATTGACATTTCATTGAGCAGCACTGTACATAGTGCAATCATGTGCAAGAACCAAATTCACAGCTATTTAAAAGGAAACAACCTGCTCAATTAATCATTTGCAAACCAGCATCCCTGGCATCTGCACCTAGAACAGTAAAATAGCATTGAAATGGCCAAACATGGTACAGTAGTCGACATGTACTGTACTGTACTGGGCCAAGATGCTACGTGTACACAGTACATACCGCTGGTGACTTGGGAACAACTGCGGCCAAATGTATGGGCCGGACGTGTGACACGAGGCACGCTGTTGGCCGTGTCTGCTCTGACTTGCTAGCATTGTCAGTGTCAACTGCATTGCGAGTCACACTGGCGTGGCTATTCGCTGACCTCACTGACGTTCGTACACCGGCAGGCACATGCACAGTTGCACTGACGTCGACGAGTGGAGCTTCCACAACGGATGGGTCCTGCGGTACACTTGCCGGTTGCGGAAACGTAGGCTGGTCCTGCTCGAATGTCAGTCGCCTTGGTGTGCAGATCCCGGTCTGTTCCTCGTCCTGAAAACAGCAAGAGAAACGCAGGCGTCTTCTTACAACAAGCCTACTGCACCTGAATTATCGCTGGCAATTCCTTGTGTGCAGCGGGGTGCTCACTGCTCAGTGCTAGCAATGGCAGAGTTCGTACATAATCCCATGTCGCACGCAAGGCAGGGGAAAGCTGGAGGACGGTTCCAGTCGCAACTGACCGAATGATCTCCATGTGTTTCTAGAATGATCTCCATGTGTTTCTAGAATGATCTCCATGTGTTTCTAGAATGATCTTCATGTGTTTCTAGAATGATCTCCATGTGTTTCTAGACCTGCTTACTATTAAGTTGAACATACTGCTAGCTTCCAGTGTGATGTGTATAAGTAGATACTGGGGCTCCGTTGCCGAGGAAAGGGTAGGAAAAAGTGACTCGCAGAAGTAAATAAATTCAATTAATCTCCATCTTATACTCATCTCCATGACATCCATTGATCCAGGTTCCTGCACTAAGGAGGTACGTACTCTGAAAAGCCCTTCACTTCAGTATACCACCAGCCTACTGTGACATGCCAGATTCTTCATTCACACAAACTGTTCACACATTCGACTAAGTACATGGCATGTTGTACGATGTGTTTGCAAAGGTGGTCAGACGAGTCACAAATTCTTACACGGTCCTCGCCTGTCCCAGACGCCAGTGGCTGACTGAGTAGCAACTGACGAGCCTTCTCCCGCATTGAGCAAATCTGCACAGAAAGAAAGGCAAGCACATCCCCCCCCCCCCACGCACACACACATACGCACAGGTGCACGCACACACACACACACACGCACACACACACACACACACACACACACACACACACACACACACACACACACACACACACACACACACACACACATGTAGTGAGCACAGTCGAGTTTTCTGCAAAAAACAAGCCAGGGAAAAGGTGGACTAGTAACGTACCAGGACTCCCAAGGCTTTGGGCAACAATGTCTTATTCTTGTACACACAAAAGTACATAGGATTGTGAACCGTGTAATGAAGTCATGGCAATTCTATGCCTGGGGTTTGTGTTGAGTCCCATACTATTAGCACTTTTCTCTAACTGCTAATTCGGGTGTGTTTGGTCATGGGCACTTATAGCAACACTAGACATACAGGTGAAGGAGATCCGAATGGCAATACAGACTTTGCAACACGGGCCATGGCCTCACCTGAGTGGCACGTTCCCGCAAGGATGCGCGAGGCTGCTGTGTGCACACACGCGTAGCTGCATCGATCACCGTGCTTGTCGGAGGCACACTCTGCTGGTGTACAGCAAGCGAGTCACCTCGCAAAGCCGGGGCCGGGGCTGACTGTCGTGTGTGCTGGCGGTTCACAACCGAGTCACCGAGTCGCAAAGCCGGGGCTGACTGTCGTGTGTGCTGGCGGTTCACTCGAACTTGAAGGCTATTGAACTGTGCAGCAGACAAAACAATAACCATAATTAATAGGACGGACGTTAATCAGTGCTACACCATACAAAAGCACTCGCAAGGTAACATTGTTTAGGCCAGTTCCATGCTGCATGAAAATCCTCGGTAATGCATCGTTCCTATGAAACTTCCCTGGACGGTAGTGACAGAGGCAGTGGTGGCCTGACACGTCAAACCCCAGTGAACGGAACAAGAAACACAAGCGGACCACCGCTGTCTACGGTACACTCGGCGGTTCTGCAGGGCCGGGGACGGTGCGTGCTAAGGCAGACTTGGGATGCAGAGCATTGAAACGACGCAACTGAATACAATCCAGTGCAAAAAGGAGGACCGAAACGTGCTGGTCCTCTCTGGACACGGTGTTTGTTTAACGGCAGCATGTACTTTGATATAGCTAGTCTAAAGACAGCATTAGTGAAACGGTCTGAGTGCAAATGCCAATACCATACATGCAGTGTCAACTTGAAGCAGGAACAAAGCTTCACTGGGAATGTACATGTACCTGTGCACAGTCTATACATGTGTACTGAGGATGTACTGAGGATGCACTGAGGATGTACTGAGGATGTACACTGAGGATGCACTGAGGATGTACACTGAGGATGTACACTGAGGATGTACACTGAGGATGTACACTGAGGATGTACACTGAGGATGTACACTGAGGATGCACTGAGGATGTACACTGAGGATGTACACTGAGGATGCACTGAGGATGGGTCAACGTCTCTTCCAGACCATGACTGTACATACATACTAGTACCTTACACGGCCAGGGTTGTGTGCCATCACAATGTTCTGCTCGATGAAGTTATCCCGGCGTTGAACCTGATTAACACACGCACACACACACACACACACACACACACACACACACACACACACACACACACACACACACACACACACACACACATACACACACATCGTAACGTTGTCACGGTTCCTATGGACAGCCACATTATTATTGTTCAAATCAGCCTCTCACACTATACGGATATACGCAACAGAAGGCCAGTCACTGGTCCATAACATGATAGGGCTACGGCTGGTAAAAAAAAGGCTGCACAAGTATGAGGCATGAAGGGTCAATCGGACACCATCTACCTGCCGTTGTATGCGGGCAAACGAAGCTGTGGGACAGTGGACAGTTAAGTCACCACACCGACCAATAGACTCTCCGACAGCGTAACAATCACAAAGTTTCAAAGCCTGAAACCTGTCAAGGTGGCCACTCTGATAAGGCGATCACCTGTCCAAAAGGACCACTACAACCAGTATCAAGGGATGTCATTTCCTGTCAAATAACCCTGGATAAGGAGACCACCTGTATACGGGGACCACATTTATAAGAAGGTACCCTGGGCGACAGGCTACACTGTACATGCGTCTGAAAGCCATTGAAAGTTGAAACAAAGGCTAGGTAACGTCTCTGTGGCTTACCTCACTCTCAGTTGCACACAGCTCTGCCTGCTGCTTGACCTTTCTCAGGAGACTGACACGCTGCGACACGCTCTCCTGAAAGGCGCTGAGCTGCTGGCTTTGGCTGTGCCGCTTGGCCTTCACCCTAGCGTCCTCTTCCATGGCTAGTTTCTACATGCGCATGTGTGCGACAACATACAGTAGTAGCATTAATGGGCAGTCACATTGTGCTCAGAATGCATTTTGTTCTCTGAACTGGCCTCCCCGCAGACCAGCCGATTTCACCCTGAATGTGTCCTAGTGCAGTATGTGTCTCTCAGCCAAAAACCAATATAGCCCCGGCCCCATAACGGTTACCAAGCTCTTCCGGATCCAGGACCCGGGGCGGGTGAGCTAGAGGCCGGCATGTTCACTTGATGCATACAGCTTTACATGCAGTATCTCCACTGACTCTGCATGTGGCACGTGCTACAGACTCTAGATGTTGCATTGTGCTGCAAGAGAGTTTTTTTTAAATTTCAATGTCATTCGGCATTGGTGCAGCCTACACGGCGGGATATCGAACTGAGAAATGTTGATGGCTAACTCGCTGGAAAAGCAAGTTGGAGCGCATGATACACCAAGCCAACACTAGTGGTAGTGTGCCTAAGCCGACCTAATAACAGCTGTGCGCCTGTGGCTAAGCAATGCTAGCACCGACTGTGAACACTGTCTGGGCTAAGTGCGTGCTGTGCAGACTGTGTGTGTGTGTGTGTGTGTGTGTGTGTGTGTGTGTGTGTGTGTGTGTGTGTGTGTGTGTGTGTGTGTGTGTGTGTGTGTGTGTGTGTGTGTGTGTGTGTGTGTGTGTGTGTGTGTGTGTGTGTGTGTGTGTGTGTGTGTGTGTGTGTGTGTGTGTGTGTGTGTGTGTGTGTGTGTGTGTGTGTGTGTGTGTGTGTGTGTGTGTGTGTGTGTGTGTGTGTGTGTGTGTGTGTGTGTGTGTGTGTGTGTGTGTGTGTGTGTGTGTGTGTGTGTGTGTGTGTGTGTGTGTGTGTGTGTGTGTGTGTGTGTGTGTGTGACATGGTCTTACATGGTGGCAAAGACCTACACAGTCGCATCCTGACCATCATGCGTAAATCCTGGCTCGAAGGCACTGTAGTCGATGATTGGCGTGATGCAGTGGTTGTGCCCATCCCCAAGAAGGGAGATCTACACCACTGTGATAACTGGCGCGGCATCAGTCTGTTGGACGTTGTCGGCAAGCTGCTTGCCCGTATTCTGCAGGACCACCTCAAAGCTATCGCTGAAGATGTCTTGCCAGACTCTCAGTGCGGCTTCAGAAAGGGACGTGGCTGCGTCGATATGGTGTATGTCGCACGGCAGTTGATGGAGAAGACGTTGGAGCATGATTCAGATGCATATGTCCTGTTCGTCGATCTGAGAAAGGCGTAGCACAGTATCCCGCGTGCAGCGCTGTGGCAGGTTCTCCAGAAGCTTGGTGTTCCGCCGGCAATGCTCCGCATCATTCAGTCACTCGCTTCCATAGAATTGGGCACCATTGCCCGTTTGGCCTTGCGAAGCAAAATAAAAATCAACAACAACAACAACAACTCCACAATGGCATGACTGCTTCTGTTCGGGTGGATGGCAAGCTGACTGACCCGATAACCGTGCGGAATGGATTGCGTCAGGGCTGCACTCTCGCACCAATGCTCTTCAATTTGTACTTCTCTGCCGTCGTTGCCAGTTGGAGGTCCAGTTGTCCGGACGCTGGCATATCCTTTCGATATAAAGTCGGGAGGAAGCTAGTAGGTGACCGAACGGCGAAGGGCAAGCTCCTGTCATCAACGGTCACAGAATCCCAGTTTGCTGACGACGCTGCACTCTACGCAACATCTCGGCCTGCCTTCGAAGCGATGACTTCCAGCTTCATCACATGCGCAAGCAGCTGGGGCCTGACGGTCAGTGTGAGAAAGACCAAGGGTATGGCTGTGGGTGAGTCTGCTGATCGCCGTGACGTTGTTGTTGGAGCAGACACGATTGAGGTGGTGGACCAATTCACCTACCTTGGCAGTGTGCTCTCCTCGGATGGTCTTGCCTGTGCTGATGTCCGCTCTCGCCTTGCGAAAGCCTCAGCTGTGTTCGGAGCCCTCAAAGCTCCTGTCTTTGATAACCAGACCCTGTCGCTTCGCAGCAAGAGGCGTGTCTATGAGGCTGTCGTCCTCACGACCCTCTTGTATGGTGCGGAGACGTGGACCACCAAGGCAGGCCACCTCCAGAAGCTAAACACGTTTCACCATCAGTGTGTTCGGTCCATTGTGGGTATCGGTCGTCGTCAACAGTGGAATGATCGGATCTCAACGGCCACATTAGCAGCTACATTCGGTGTTGACCCTGATATCACCCGCATCATCCGTCGCCACCGGCTTCGTTGGCTGGGTCACGTGGGCAGGATGGACGACTCACGCGCACCGAAGCAATTGCTGTTCGGCGAGCTGCCTGCCCCCCGTCCTCGTCACGGCCCGAAGAAGAGGTGGCGAGATGTGGTGTCGACTGACCTGGCGGACCTCGGCGTGACCACCTGGCTTGAGAGTTGCCAAGATCGTCCCGGCTGGAGACGAGTTGCGAGTAGCACCCCACCGCCACGGCCCGCTCCTGATCCTCTTCTATGTGTCTGTGGACGCCCATTTCGTCGACCAGGAGACCTGAAACGACATGCCAAGTTCTGCGCTCGTGTTCTCACTTGAACTTTCCGACATTCGCTATCATTGCGTACGCAATGGGCAAGATCAAGGTCAAGGTCAAGGTGTGTGTGTGTGTGTGTGTGTGTGAGCGCGTGCGTGCGTGCGTGTGTGTGTGTGTGTGTGTGACATTGCCTGAGCTGTGCATATGCAGTGAATAATGATTATGTCATGTACTGTGGTTCAAGAAGGTTGGATTTCACTTCTATTCCCATCACCTTCAGCACTGCACACACCGCGGTACCGGTAGACAAGGACACAGCATGATCACATGAGTAGGCGACATCATGTACATAATAGATCTACATGACATGTAAATGCTGCATGGCTGTACAATTCACAATGAGTGCCGGTATTTCAATGACTATTTCCTAAGGCCTACCACGGGACATGCGTGAAGCGGATGGTTCCAACCGGTGGTCGATTCATTCCTCTCCACCCTGACCGCCACCTTTCGCGACGACAATGCGTCCTGCTGTTCGCCCACGCGCCATCGTTTGCTCGGCATAGCGCACACGTGCACTGAGTGGCCAACTAGCGGAAAGCACACAGACACGCCGGTACTTCGGTACTTGCACGACTTCAGACTTCAGTTCAGATTGAAATGCCTTTTAGTTACCTGTCTTTCAGCTCACAGGTCACAGGGACTGCTGTGAAAGCTTAGAAGTTATGATGATTGAAATATCTGACATATCTTCGAGAGCGACTGCAAAATTAGTGAAAGTGCAGTTATTTTGATGTTATGTAATGCGGGTTCAATGGAATGAAACAGCCCGGTAGGTCTACTGCAGTAGGCACATAACTGCAGCCTGTTCTCTTCAGTCTTCATGGTCTTGAACAACCATGACAACCCCCGCGCGCTCTTGTCTGCTCTGAAAATTACGTGAAGAAATGCCCGACCGGACCACGTCGTCATTACCCCCGTTATTTCGCTTCTACACGTAGACCAATGTAGACCAGGTAGACCTGCTAGTGCTAGTAGACCCAGGTGCTCGAAGTCCGTACATGGTATCCTAAGTTCGTACGCCCATAATTTCATGTTCTGTTATTGTATTCGACTCAAATATTTTATGGAGGGGACAGTGTGGTATGTTCTCCTCGCGTACCAATTTTCAGGGATCTACGATAAGCAGAAGTCCCATACCACGCGAGTGGGTTTTCGAGTGCCCATACGAAATACAAATTGGGTTACATTTCATGCAAAAATCAACTTTGCCAAGACCGATTTCGAACGGACACAGCGTCAAACAGACCTTCACTCAATCATCAAGAGCCAGCTTAGAGCTGACAATGGCCAGAGGAGAAGAATTTACAGAGAACCACCAATTCTTGCAGAAAGGTTGACACTCCTGGCATCTCCACCACTGTTTTCCCGCGGTTTTCACAGCGCAGCTGCTTCTTCTCTGAGCCGACTAAAACAGCTTGCAGTTCGGCAACAAACTACGCTTTTGCAAGAAATACTGGTGGAGGCACATGCCAAACATATCCCTTCGGTGCTTTCGTCGTAACCGAGGGATTGCAAGTTAGCAATTAGCAGAAATATGTGTGTATTTCGAGTCACCTCTGATCAGTACGGACTTAGAGTACCCTCCGCGACACAAAAATTTGATATGAAAAATCAGCGAACTCCAGAGAAACAGATCGGATCGAAAGATGGCCTGGTTCAATCGAGCCTGGCCTGAGAACAAACTTGGACAAGATACCTTCCATCCACGAGCAGGATTCTGGCAAGTGATCATTGCTAGTGTGAGTTTCAGCTCGGCAAACACACACTGTAAAAGTGTACGGACTTCGAGCACCTGGGTCTACGAGTAGTAGTATACTGTATAGACTAGTCTATAGGTCGCATATCTCGTGTTTCGTCGGTGTCCAGAAATGAAGGCTTTGGCTTTGTGGCTAGGGAGTTGTGGATTTGTGGGAACATTCGGAAATCGCTGCTACCGGTATCGCATCGGCACCGTCCATGCTATGTTGAGACACTTGGTAGATCTACTACCTGCGAGAGGGTCAGTAGCATCAACATGATCAAGTGCAAGAAAATCGGGAACTTTTAGTCTTCCTACAAATCCTGTGATCACGGCTTCAGCCCGGATTTTACTTCGAAGATCTTCGCGATGGTGTAGATGGCACATTGTAGATCTACTACTACTAGCCAAGCCTACCTACTATGACTAACTTTTTTCTGGAAGTATTGGTAATACCGGTAGTAGTTCTGCAATCTGCAGCCAGCGTCCGATCGAGTCGGGGGTACCAGTGAGTCCCAGCAATGATTCCAATGTACATGTACATGTACGTTCACATGTGTGTTCACGCGACGCGTGGCGCTGATAGTGACGGTAAGTGCGAGCGTAATCATTATGTTGCACAGTATGCAGTGTACTATGGTACTAGTACACAAGTACTACTAATCCTGCGAACAAACATGGTTCAGTAACAAACATGATCATAGCGGATAGAGCACCAAACAAAACAACAAGTACTGCGTAGAGTAGCGACTAGCGAGCAGTCACAGTAGCGGATAATCAAGGCTAGAGTAATTCCGGTAGAGCGGTGTCATGACAGAACACATCGGTCATGTCATGTGTGGACAACGGGACAAACACCCTCACGTTTGCCAGATGGACAAGTTTCCTGGTAATTAAATGATCTTTGAGGGTGGTGGCGTTCCTACGGATGCGGAAAACTCCATCTCCAGCCGAGTATCACGCTAACCGAGATTTTCTTAAAGGCACAAACAAAGGCATCGCTGTTGTGTTATCCGGTTTCCCCGAAAGTCGCGAAAGCGGGCCAACATCAGTGAGCCGTAAAGTTAACATCATCTTCATAGTCGGGCAGCACGGGTACGGGTAGACCACTGTAAAACGAAGTTATTATTACTGGCACGAATATACGGATTATACAGAACAGCGATCCGGATTTTGTTTTCGAGCTGCTTGTTCCAGCTGCCCTGCAACAGAGGCACTTCATGAATGTGCGCGTTACACTATACATGTACATGTACATGTAAATTATAACCGTACTTCCCCACATATACTGTATACTGTATAATACATGTAATAATAAGCGCGCATGCCCTTATGTTATAGATAAGTTTTAAGCGAAACTTTGCTGTAATTAGTAAACAGTTTTTTTTGCTGTGTAAACATGTCCAGGGTAGAAGCACATGCGCTTATATGTGCGGAAGTACGGTATGCGCATATGCGAGCACAACATTTAATATGCGAGTGGCTCATTTGCACCTCAGACAGAAGTCACCAGTGATCTTGCCCATGGGCTTTCGGGCACTTGATTGAAAGACCAAGGCGGGCAAGGGTGAAGATGGACAGGAGATACACGATGGTGACACCATACCATGTGCAGTGGCACATGTATGGCGGCATGGCTAGTACTAGTACTAGTAGTAGTAGTGGCATGTCACCTGATTAGCACTGCACAGGAAGTCGCATGAAAGGGCTTACACACACATGTACTGCACACATGATAGTGGACTCCCTGCCGGCCTGCTGCTGCATAACACCTGTGATATTAATTTTACAAATGGGTGACACCATAAGGGCATAACCATGATGGGCAGCTATGGTCACATGTAAGACCCACAGTCACACCTTCAAGACACCGTCTACTTTGAAGTCTTGGGCAGCAATAGCATTACATGTGAGAATGGGATGTCTCACTCTCAGGAGTCAGGGATGAATATGATCAGAATGGCCAGCTGCTAGCCTTCCTTCAACACGCCATAACTTCATAAGGCATAAACTCATCAAGCAGCACTTAGCTGCTCCAGTGCTTGTGCATACCACATGCATCACACTTCAGAGTTCAGTACAGACAGTAGGGTGCTGCCACCACGTACCATATATACCAGGCATGGTGCTATATCCTATCAATACTCCCATGTATTACCACACCTGTGAGAGCGTGGTCGGCCATGCAGTGTAGACTGGCTGTAGGCAGGTGCTTGCAAAATGTAGCCAACCCTGGCCTTGGTCATGCTTCAAGGCATGTTGGCAAGAGGGCACCTCAAGGACAAGCATAACATTATTATTTTACTGTAAAAGCCATTGTTCTAACGAGCCGCAAATATAATGATTTCCTAAAATTGACCGGTTTGCATGTACCAAAGGTAACGATTCTCACTCAATCTCAGCGCTCACTACCAACGGTATAACCCAGGGGCTGGGCAAACACTAACACTACAGTACTGCACTCTCCTCTCTCTCCCTGTCTCTCTCTTCCAAGGCGTAACGAGAGAGCTTGGAAGCTCAGGGCCCTGCGCTATGCTTTGTTGCCTAGCTCATCGTGCATGTATTGTTGTTAGAACTGATGGAAATGCTTTTTCCTTTGATTAGCTAAATCATTGTTTTGCAAAAACGTTTCAATGAGATACTGAAGTACAAGTAACGTCTTCTGCATAGCTATGGGACCGGCGCTGACTCTGCCGATGACGGGCGTTCTGGAGTCGACGGGATGTCTGTCCTGACGTTTCCTGGGACCGGCGCTGACTCTGCCGATCACGGGCGTTCTTCTTCTTCTTCTTCTTATTATTATTATACTGACGGCAACTGACATCCATTCTGATTGCATTTACTCGTCTCCCTACTTCGTATTTCTTTCCAGAAAATCTCCCCATACAGCAGGGAGTCGTTTACATAATATGACTCCCTGCTATACATCTACATGACTGTATATACGTTATAATTATTATGCTATCGGCCTACATGCGATTTCCGGGCTGGTCGACAGGCGGCCCAGCCAGCCTGTTAGTGGGATCTCGGCCTCGCACACAAATCCACACAAAATTTAATGTTACTGCACTGAATGCATTCCCCCCATACACTTCGCATATATACTCATTCTCTTGATGGTACCGTACTCTTGATGATACGGGACAGGTACGGGATAGCGCCAGGCATGTCGATGGCACAAACAAACAAAAATATTGTGGCCAGCTGTCTTTGCTGGTACGGTACAGTACGGGATAGATACAAAATAGCGCCAGGCGTGACACAAACAAACAAACACACAAACAAACACCAAATTAAAGCTGTGTGGACCCTGGCTAGCGCCAGACGTTACTGAAGTAACGTCTTCTGCATAGCTACGGGAATAAATAACACTAGTCTTCTGCCAATACCAGGGCAAAGGCACATGTCAAGCAGAACTCCAGCAGTACACCAGTCAGTTTACTGTCAGTTGCTGACTCACACAGATTACACACAGAATACACGCACACTGGACACACAGGCATACAGGTGGATCGATGGGAATCGCCTCGTTCAATGTCACAAGAAAACTGTTTTACAATGGGAGGAAAAAAACAAAGACTGAACAAAAAACACACAGTGGTATTGCCATAATATCTGCTACGCATGAAACATCAAGTTAAAACGAGTGACTTAAAAGTGGATAAAAGACATAACCCATGGGACAATCACTGCCGCATAGAAAAACTGAGCTTTTTCAGACATAGCCGTTATAAGGGACAAGCAGTGAATCTGAATCAAAATCACACATATGGTGACAGTGTACAACGATAGCATGTACACAAGACGGAGACAGAGACAGAGAAAGGGAGCACTGAAGACCGAGCAAAAACGGGACGCTGGGTGAAGGCGAGGGGTGCACGTCGTTTATCACGGGGATCTTTGCTCTTGTGAACCAGGCGGCATGGTAAGCAGCACTAAAAAATGAATAAAATGAATCTAGACTGAGTGCTATTTGTTAGCACAGGTGCACTGGGATCTATTCGTGCGGTATTAATACACGCATCTGCTTCTGTAGTCTGTACATTGGAGCTCACAATCTGGACAAATTATTTCGTGTGAAAAGCATTATTCAAACTACTCCTAGCTAGATCCTGGCACCACCGTCTTGGGCCGGGCCGGGGTATTTCGAACATGAAATTGGCTGGGTGCATCATAGTTCACGATTTGTTCAGGGTCAACTCACCAGGGAGAGCTGTGTCGGTGTCCTTGTTGCGCGTACCACCATTGGCAAATACTGTTACAAATACTGAGAGGAGGCCTGTTCCATTCCTTGTTACTTCTCTAACCTCCTCAGCTGCCGTACCGCGGGAACACGCCAATACTGCGCCGCACAGAATCCAATTTTCCACAGCACCGAAGAAATGTATCCAGAGTGCGAAACCGTACTTGGTCTTCGGGATGATCTTTTCTCTCTCGGCGCTTCGCCATCACCACATACACGATCGCCACCGTGAGGGATGCCACTGACTGGATGATAATTACGGGAAGAAGAATAAGGAACAGAATTGCATCAATTGGCCAGATCAAGAGACGCATCAGGCCACTTGGCGTTTCGTAGTCTTCCTCGCTCCCCATCATGGAATGGAAACAAGTAATGTGAGGAGTAGCAGACACCGACTTCAAGCTGAATACTAGCACTAGTAGTAGTAGATAAAGGACTTCTAAAAATCTCCTCGATGAACAAACAGTTACTGATAGACTAGACTTGAGTCTTGAATGAAAGCCTGATGGTGAATCGTCCCTGTCAAAACTCGAAAATCGTTCGTAGCCGACCGTATACTCTAGAACTACGTGTTCTTTTTGTTGTAGATCGTAGATCTACGAGCGCCGCGTCGCCACGTCGTGATCACTGATATGATCGCCACATGCACAGTGCACCGCCTGATCAGTACAGTGTGCATGTTTCATGGTTTGACCCTGGATCGGATGATCTTTGCAAGCTTGACCTGCAATGACGTAACCACATCTAGGCTACTACTACAAAACTTCAAAAGAAGATTTTAAAAGTCATGCACAAGTACAACTAGTTACTTACATTAATTTTTACAAGTGGGGGAAGTGCACAGGCATTTTCTCAGTCTCAGACTCAGGCCAGCTACTGTACCTCCGGAACCAGTTACCTGTCTGTATCTCTAGCTCTCTACTATCTTACCTGCTTACTGCTCGAGCTTACCACAAAAGACTACAACTTACAAGTACATCGTAACAAGACTTATCAGTGTCAATGCCTATTAATATTATTGCAGGTGGTGAGGCTCTTTTCTACCTGTCTGGATCTAATCGATCACACTTTCCTTTGACGTTTTATTGTCTCATCCATGTGTCTGGCTAATTTATTCTATCCCCCTCCCCCAGCAGAGGCCGTTCAACATTTTCTTCAGACTTCTTGACTCACACTTCCTGTGAATCCACACAGGCGGGTGGCCCGATTCATAATAATACTATAATCAGGGATTATTGTACTAGTTCCTGAATAATAATCAGGGAGTAGTACAATAGTAGTACATGTACAATAAAATACCAAGACTGCAAGAGAGACAACCTATCACATCCCAACAGCAGCAATGTGAATACAGTAAAACCTGTCAAGGCGACCACTCGGATAAGGCGACCACCTGTCCAAGAAGACCACTGAAACCAGGATCACGGGATGCTATTTCCAGTCAAATGACCCTGGATAAGGAGACCACCTGGTAACAGAGACCGCATTTTGAAGGTCCCTTGAGCGGTCGTCTTAAAGACAGGTTTCACTGTACAAGGCCCGATACCACTGGTGTACAACTAAGAGCTACGCATTTCAGAAATGTACGATGATTAATTGATCGCCTCCTGTATACGCGTACAGTTCCGACAGTACGACTCGCAACAAGGCCCCGTGTAGCTAGCCACTACAATTGCTTTCGAAGCCCCCAAAAATAAAGGGTAAACTGACAGAAGTACGACTCGTACGAGTACATGTACACTGAGACTGTAAAACGACACGACAAGCACTGGGGGGGGGGGGGGGGGGAGGGAGGAGCCGGAGAGTGAAACGAAGGACTTCAAAAATTATATTCTACGAGTACATGTATGACTGCGCTGTAACTACATGACTGTAGTGTAGTATGCTGTGCCCGGTCTTCATGGTCTTCCAAACGAGCAGAGATGTTCAAGAAGCGAAGTGCCAAGGAGTAGATACATGTATCTACGAGGGGAAATCAGACAGACGTACTCAGGATGATTTACCGGTAGTATCCTTTGACTCTTTCAAGTCCTGCAGAGGGACGTAGCAGCTTTCGCCATGCCTCTATACTGGCGCGTCGGAACGACTTTGGAGGTGGGGCGGCCATGGAAGGGGGTCCGGGGGTCCTCCCCGGGGAAAAAATTTCAAAAATTAAAGCCAATTGCAAGCATTTCCGGGCATTTGGTGCCATTTCAGTGTACGGTAACTACAATGAAAGACTTTTTGATTCTGCAAAAACCAAGAAGATGCTACGATCGGGGACAAACATTACCCTCCCCCGGGAAAAAATTCAAAAATTGGAGCCTATTGCAAGCATTCCCAAGCATCTGGTGCCATTTCAGTGTACATGGACTTTTGATTCTGCAACAAACCACGATCGGGGACAAGGATTTGCCACGTTTGCGCTTAGATCTTCGCGCTTTGTTGCAGTGTGCTAAAAAAAAAAAAAAAAAAAAAAAAAAAGGCCGAAAAAGGGGGGCGGCCATGGCGCCCCGGCCGGTGCGGTTCCGACGCCCTTGCCAACTTGAACTGGCCCGGGCCTTGCTATACATGTAGTCAAGGAGGTAGTGGAGTTGGTATGGCCCACTATGGGTATTAGCAAGAGTCCATAAAGTGTTTATAAGGACTCTTATAACTATTATCCAGAGTCCATATTCCATAATCCCCCGGCCCGGGGGATTATCATGATTATGGACTCTTGGTATTATGGAGGGGCGTGCTCGAACCGCAGGAAAGTGTGTGGCTGATGTGAACTGCTGTCCACCATGGTCCACAGGAACATGACGTTGGAAAGCGGTCGGGATGCCAGCCATAGCGGAGGTGCATGGCATCACGGAACTCAGCCTTGGTGAGGTCGAATCCTTCGTTCAGGGTATAACTTACTATAAGGGTTTGGAAGATTGAAGTGGGTGAAGAGGTTGCATTTTTTTAGATGGTACAGGACTCCCGGGGCCCATCTGCAGGAACAATGAACAACATGCACGGCACTTCAAGTAGAGGAACTAGAGGCTAGCATATTATTGGGCTATGCGAACCTATCTCACAAGGGAGAGGTCACCTAGATTTCCCGCAAAATCGCAAAATCCAATAATTTTCAGAGCGGCATACTGAAACAGTGAAAGATGATGGCCAAAATGGGCAAATACCCCACCAATAAAATGGCCATTTCTTGCTCCATGCATCTGTACTAGCTGTAGAGGTGCTGAAGACAACAAGAAGACCAATCGGTGGACCAATTATTTTGGTATTGAGCTACCTTTTAAAAACACGCAAAAAACGAAATTAATCGGATAAGAACTAAGAAACGTAATGATATCGATATCGAACTTTTCAACATTGACTCAAACATAACAGCACTTTGTAGTTCTAATGGTTGATGGCCTTCTCTCACAGACAAGTACATGCACATCTAAAATAAATCAGCAGGCAAGTGAGGTATAGAGACCGGAGAAACGAGCAGCTGTGGACACATGCGCATGTGCGCACAGCGCACTGAAATCATAAGCCGGGAAGCTGGATAGAAAACGGAAATGGTTAGAGCGAGGGTTCAGAAAGCACACAATCACAATAATTATAAACATTTCAATCACTGTTGCCTATGTCCTAAAGTGGGAGAGGCGCAGCAGTATAATCGCAGGTCCCGCGAACTGTGAAGGTACTGTCTATAATTTCCAGGTGTGCGGGACAAGTCAAAACCGATAAAAAAAGGAAAAAGAAGAAGCAAGGATGCGCAAGGTTAATACTTCAGTAGTGTCAACAGCAGCTGGTACTGGGTGGGCGGGGGCATTGTTGACTCGTGCAGATTGAAGTTATGCCAGAATTTGGAAAAAGCGAAATCCAGAAATCCAGCACCGGCAAGCGAAAATCGCATCTGCAGCCGACTTTGGCCCACGAAACAAACAGAGGACTAGTGTGTTTGGTCTGGGGCTGCACAGTGTGGAGCAGCAGCAAAGCCACTGCTGCTAAAGTGGTGGTGGCGACGGCAGCAGCAGCAACAGCAGCACACGCCTGGGCTCACACGCCTTGCCTGCTTCTGGCACTGCGGGCCAGTAGGCATACCGGACACATACAGGAGACACTGCATCTTTCCAGGTATCATCATCACCTGTAGCCATACGTCAGCACTGTGAAGCCACCGGATTGTAAATTGATCGGCTCGCACTTGTGATACGCAACCATCTCCACCACACTGATGAAGAACTGGACAGGTTGAAAAGGAAAAAAACCCGATGAGCACCCCAACAGAGCCACAGTGCCAAAACACCAGTAATTAAGCATTTAACAGCGGTTGTACCGATATCATAACGCAACACCCAACAAACACGCATGCAGCAGCTTACTCACTGTATATTTACAACGCATGTGTGTGCATGGCAGGGGCAGCAAATCACTGGGAGCGTTTACGTGGAAGATCATAAACAGTTTAGAGACTTACCTTTTCGCCCATTTTTTGCTCGCCAAGGGCAAACATGTTGTCGTTTCGCCGCCGAATTCTACATAGATAAACACACACACACACACAGTAGATAGACACAACACACACACACACACACACACACACACGCACGCACACACACACACACACACACACACACACACACACACACACATACACGCACGCACGCACACACACACAGTCAAACAATGATGCAGGTTTGACAACTTCAGTATTCTTAGATCTAGAGCTGCACACCGCCTGGTGCCTATACTTGCCTCACACGATCAGATTTCATAGAGCAGCAATCACGGTACTAGTAGGACCATTACTGAATGTGATGCATGCTGTACCAGAGGCACATATGCATTATGCAGGTCACTGACTCACTGTGCTGTGCTACGGAGGAGGCTTACCGTAAGTGGCGCACGTGTCCTTGGTAGAATAGCGACATAGAGTACTCGCCAGGCACCTTGGAGCTATTCCGTACCACAAACGCACCGTCCTGAAACACAGCATTGACACAACAACAACAACGACAACAACAAGAACAAGGACAAGGACAAGAACAAGAAAAACAACAACAAGAACAAGAACAAAAACAACAACAATAAAGAATTCAAACAACAACAACAACAACAACAACAATAAAGAATTCAAACAACAACAACAACAACAACAACAACAACAACAACAACAACAACAACAGGACACGTGATCAACAAACTACAAGGTATGTGTGCAGTGCAAATTCAACATGAATTGAATAAAAGGAAATAGAGGGCCGACAAACAGGCATGGGGCTGGAGGCAGACAGGGAACAGCCCACAAAGTCACTGTGCTAGAACGGAGCACTCTGGTGTGCAAGCTAACTAGAACGGAGCACTCTGGTGTGCAAGCTAACTAGAACGGAGCACTGGTGTGCAAGCTAACTAAAACGGGTTCCGGTGTGAGCCCTTACTAGAATGTAACTAGAAGAAAAGACATGCCGTGATCAGGCAGTGACAGCCGGGACCAGGGTCAGATTCAATGCATCAAATACACGCACGTCATGCCCGATTCTATTCACTAATGGTGACACGGAACATACCACTTGAGCCTGCTGCAATATGTATTCAGCTTGCCGACGATCCATGCTGGGATTGTAGTAATTCTGGGTCGATATGTCCTGCAAGAGATAAACACATCCGCAACAAGCAAGGGCACACCTCAACTACTGTACTTCTTGAAATACATTTCAATGCGCTTACTTTTTTCCAGCCATTTCTAGGTACGGGCCCTATCACAGACCTCGGCATTTTCAGCTCCCGCAGAGCAAAACCGGACACACTTCAGTGTCAGAAGATGCCTGTTCTCTTTACCATAACACCATGTTGCCTGACAGTGACATCACCAGCAGATATCAGAAATTTTACATGTCAGACGAACAAATTCATCACTGTTCGAACAAAAACTGATTCAGCAAATGAGGTTGAACGAACCCATGGAAATAGGGGTCATGTCTGAGACACTCTCAGTACACTGTATATTTTCAGCCCAATCTGAGAATTCAATGCAGCAGCACCCAAAACTGTCCAGGATATAGCTAGGATGGCCACTGGGCACTGACCCACTTCGATTGCCATGCATTGCTACGGAAGTCAAGGGTGGCAAGCGAACGATGATGCAGTGTACATGATTGAAGTTGGTACGCTGATCATCACACCGATGACAACGTTAGCCATGCGTCAGATAGCCGAGGGGAGTTCTTTTCGGGGGGGGGGGGGCAATTTCAATCACCTCTCAATCCCCGGGCTTATTTCCGGGAAACACGTCCAGTAGGGCAGTTACAATAAGCTTGATATTGGCTACATGTGCACATGAAACATATGTAAAGCACCCAGCCGCCTGAGCCGGTTAAAAACATTCTTCGCCGTTCATTGGACTTCATTGCGATCAGTTTGGCCATTACCTCTGAGCTCCGCTGGTGACACCTAACAAAGTCGAAACAGCCAGCTGCCCGGAGATTGTGCAAAACACCTGCCTGTACATCTACACTATTATCAAGAGTATAACCCCCCAAGAGTGTGCAACTCCTGATACCCTCTCTATGGGGTGCGCCGATGGCGAAAACTCACATCACGTCGTGCAGTGTCGCAGTTGTACGTTTCCAGCCCGCTTTTAGCGAGCAGCGGAGTAATAAAAGAAGCATTCTCTGACAGAAACTCACTGCGGGTATGCAAATCCCCGGCATGATCATGGCAGATATTCGGACTGCGCGCACGCTATCCTTCGCTTGTACGTAGTACGAACGTATCTGAGACACGTGATGTGAGTTTTCGTCGTCGGAGACCCCATATGCAGAGTTGCACGCTCTTGGGGGGTTATATATATTATACTCTTGCCATCATGCAACAGAAGGCTGGAGGACACTACAAGGACAATGCCGAGGTTAGTGGTACATGTACATACCTCAGAATTTGTCGGAGCCTGGATTTGCGATGTAGCCCGACCTGGACGAACTGAAGCTGAACACGGTAAAGCAACAGACGGACACACAACACAATGTTGCATACGCACATATAACAGATCATGCAGCCTTGCTCTGCACTCGGCCTGTTTTTAATAAGGTCGACGTTTTGCAAGGGGCTGGGGAATGAGACAGCAGCGGTGACCTATGACATGTGATCTCCTGAAGGAAGCAGAGGCGCGATCACTACTGTGTTCGTAGTGCTGTAAGCTTGTGCCACCCCAGGGTGCGCTACGCTGTGGGATATTTTATGCTGTGCTACCCCAGAGTGCTATGCTGTAACCCTGTGGTATTATGCTGTGCCATCCCGGAGAGCGTTATGTTCATGACGTGAGATTTCACTTGCCACTACTGTAGTATTTGAGTAACACACCACTCTGCTGTCAACCAGTACTGGTGTCATGCCCTGAGTGTGACAATTTGAGATGCACTGAGATTTTGAAAGTCTTTCAGGAATTGCGCAACAGAGAATAGTTGCACAACAACGTAGATACTACTTTCTCAGGCAGACCAAAGGTTGTCGCTTCCATCTCAAAATTCTAAAATACTTTGAAGTAGGCAAAATGAAAGAAGAAAAACTGACAATACATGTAGGTCCAGCCATCGGACGAACCGAGTGGCTGAAACTGGAAATAGTTTCTACCGCTGTTAGCACGGTGCTGGCTTTTTGCCAGTGTTCAGCGTTGCGATACATGTGCGTCTACAAATAATGCCTAGCAAAGTGACAATTTTAGTGTGTCAGAGGGAGCAGTAGAGAAGAGCAACTCACATGAGACCGGTGCCGCTTGTCGCTGTGGAATTTATGCAGAACACAGACACAGACACACAGACACGCACACACACACACCACACACACACATACAATGCACTGGATTCAATACGCCGTCATGGCTACAAAACCAAGGTGGAAGTGTGCGTGGTGTGTGTGTACGTGTGTACCATTAGTCTGTTGGCTCTATCACTATCACAGAGTCTGACATATTTTGCAGCCGGGGAGAGCGGCAGCCGTGTGTTCACCAAGAAGCACCACTGCAGTAAAACTAAGTGCAAGCAGAAAAATCCTACATAAATGACCACCCCCGAGCAAAAGGACAGACATGGCAATGGGCAAACTCACCAGATCGCCGCGATTCATCAGCGGCGTAGTAGGTGTTGAGACGGGCACGAGGCCGGTGGGAGATGTTGATGCACGTGGCAATACGGACCTCGGATTCGATGACTTCGCCGACAAAGCTAGTGGATACAACACGCATGCACATGAACACAGAGTTTTATTAATGGAAGTTTCACCAAACATAAAGTATTGTTGAGTATGGGGCCATCCTGGCTAGGGTTTACCAGGCGTTAGCGGCCGTCGTGAGTTCCCTTCGGGAACGGACACGGTAATTTCCTTTTTTTTTATGAGGTCGCCCAAGGTTACTGTATATTTTTTCACTTGGGGATTGGTCGATTTTAGGAATTTTGTTTAAGAAAGAATTATTAAATAGAGACTTAGTTGGAGGAAAACACATTAGCACATGAAGAGACGAAGCCAGTTGTAAATCTGAAGAGGCCTTTCGTACCAATACTTCTCAAATCAGTATGTGGTGATGTGACGAAGCACAAGGATGCCAATTTATTTCTCGCATAAACTCCTTGATAGATGGCGTTCAGGCGAACCATGAACCAACCTGTGTTTTGTGTGTGTCAAGCACGATGGTTTGCTGCTGGGAACAGAACTAGTTGACATTCAATGAAACTAGTTCCGACGACTGCATTCAAGGATGTAGTCCAAAGGGGTGACGCACGAGTGCCTACATGCAATCCTGTACCTTCGAGTCAGGACCACAAGAACTCAAGC